GCCCCCGGGTCGACCCAGGACACGTTGGAGAGGTTACATCTCCAATCTGGTCCGGGAACGCCTTGGGGTCCTGCCGGAGGAGCTGGTGGACAAGGCCGGGGAGAGGACGGCCTGGAGCTCCCTAATTGGGATGCTGCCCCCGCGACCCGGACCCGGATAAGCGGAGGAAGACGAGACGAGACGAGACGTTAACTGTGAGACGCTACTGAGATTTAGTCTGGTTTAGTGTGACTTTTTCACATTTCAAGGGAAATAGACATTTTTTATGTATAAAACCATTCATTTTGAATTATGTTTAAATTGAAATATGTTTTATCTTTGCTAAACGTTTTGTTTAAAGGTGTGGACCACTGAAAAAACATTTTTTAATTATTATTTCCAATTGTATTCACTCACTGAGTTTTTCATGCAGGCTGAACATGAAAATAGTCTCCTACACCTAGCTCCTGCATTAGCTTCTGATAAAAAATAGATGGTGAAACTCTAGAATCTACATCACACTGTCACTGAACATTCATGGACTCACCCATCTTGACTGACGACGGGGAAGACTGTTGTTGGTTTAGCGTCCAGGAAACAGCAGACAGCGTCTCAACTAGTAAAAGTTAACTGTTGGCATTAGCAACTCCACCACACAGCAGAACTCCTCCAGAATTGTGTTATTTGCAGAGATCAACGTTGCAATGCAGAGTCAGGTGCAGAGTTGTGTTGCTGTTAGTCAATCCAAGACGTGTATATATAGTTTGGCCTGATAATTAAAACATAAATATAATAAAATAAAATAAGTTAAAACATAAAATCCCAACAGCTAAGCTGGAAAAGTCAATAATGATCCCACGTGATCTGTTTTCATTAGTACACCAGCTGTTGCAACCGTAGGCTGCACAAAAACTGGCCAAGTTGTCCAGCCTGCGTTGAATCCAGTTGGGATTGGAGACCGAGGAACTCTCACTGTGGCGGCGACGCTCCTCCAGCGCCCAATGGGGTGTCTACGTAACCATGTCTGACTTTCTCCTGCAGCTGACTTGTACTTCCAGATCCAGGTGCATCTGAGATGTTTTTTCCCCTGAGTACAACTTAGGCATTTATTCCTGCTAGAGACCCCTGCAAATGTATTGAATAAATGAGCATTCAACGCCTTTAACGGTATTGTCTGCTAGGCTTATTAGGCTTATTAGGAAAAGCTCCATATGAAAGAGGGACTACTCCTCCAAAACGTAGTTTCTGTCTTTAGCTTGGATTTGAGTCTCAATATTCTTTACTCTCACATGCTGTGTCTGTGTGATTTACTTGTCAGCATTAAAGGGTGTATGACCAGCTGTGAAAACCATTCTTCATCGGTACTTATAAATGCTGGTTATTTCATTTATAGTATATTTTTCAACCGAACTAAACATATTCCTGATCTGCCATGTGGAGATCCGTTTGAGCGTGTTTTGTGAAAAAGCCAGAACAGATTGCAAGCATCATTTCAATTTTATTGTTCCACGAGGGCTGTTTTATTCCCACTTCCTTCTTCCCTCTCCTTTTCAAGCTTCCACGGCTTTTGCTCTCATTATCCTTGCCTCTGATTATTTTTCCTTTATCTTTGACTTTTGAAAAACTTCTTCCAAAAGTTAGGGGAAAGGATTCGGGTCTCTCTGTGAAACTGTGTGGTCTGGCCTCACCCACGTGTATAACCTCGCTTTGACAACCTGAACCTAAACATTTCTCTGCATGAGCTGTAATCCAAATGCAAAATCCAGCTCAGCACTGTAATTTACACAATCTATAGGTTCAAGGAGCTCTGTGTGTCAGCGAGGGAGGGTTTGTGATTCATCTTGAAAGAGTCTGAAATGAGAGAGTCCTGGTGTGCTTTTGTTCCCCAATAAAACCAACAAAATGAAGACAAGATCTGCCGTGATGAAAGCAATAGTTTGTCTCTGAAAGTTTAGACATGTTTGGCCAGAGCTTAAGGTTGTTTTGCTAGTTTACTCGTTATAATTCAGAGTATTGTTTAGAGAGAGCTATTTTGAAACTCGAGGGTTCTCATCTTCTGAATAAGCTAGAAGCATGAAATAAACCTCTGGGCGCTGATCCTGGACATGCTGGTAGTGACTGTGCACGGCTCTGGGCTTGGGAGGGATTGACACAAAGCAGGAAGAGACTTTTCAAAAAATGTATTTTAATGTTAGTTTTATGATAAATGACCCGCGCTTGTATAGCAGCTTCAGAGTCAGAAGACTCCAAAGCGCTTTACACTACAGTGCATCGTTCACCCATTCACACAAACATTCACACTCTGATGGTGATGAGCTACAGTGTAGCCACAGCTGCCCGGGAGTGCACTGACAGAGGCGAGGCTGTGGAGTACAGGCTCCATCGGTCCCTCCATGTCTTGCAGAAGGACACAACAGCAGAACTCTCCGTCCGGAGCCGGGATCCGATTCCGACAAGACGCTCTACCTCGTGAGCTACTGCTGTCAACAGTTCTGTGTCTCCATAACAGGAAACGATAAATGTTCCACAATATAATATTAAACCTGGGAATCATGGGCTTAAACATGCCACATGACCCCCCGCCACCACACTGCATGGTGGCGCAGTTGTTAGCACTGTTGCCTCGCAGCACGAAGGTTGCAGGTTTGAAACTCGTCTGCAGCTTTTCTGCGTGGAGTTGCGTTCTCCCCATGCATGCGTGGGTTTCCTCCGGGTTCTCCGGTTTCCCCCACAGATCACAACATGCCCTATAGGTAATGAATTGTAAGTCGCTTTGGATAAAAGCATCTGCTAAATAAATAAACACACACACACACACACACACACACACACACACACACACACACGCACACACACACGCACGCACGCACGCGTGCACACACACACACGCACACACACACACACACACGCACACACACACGCACGCACGCGCGCACACACACACACACACTTTATCTCCCTCCTTCCACCTGGCTCTCTCTCTCTCTCCCCCCTCCCTCCTTTGGTTCTTTCTCTTATCTCCCCCTCCCTCCCTCTGGTTCTCTCTCTCTCTCTCTCTCTCTCTCTCTCTCTCTCTCTCTCTCCTCCCTCTGGTTCTCTCTCTCCCTATCTCCCTTTGGTTCTCTCTCTCTCTCTCCCCCCCTCCCTTCCTTTGGTTCTTTCTCTTATCTCCCCCTCCCTCACTCCCTCTGGTCCCCCCCTCCTCCTCTGGCTCTCTCTCTCCCTCCCTCCTTCCCTTTGGTTCTTTCTCTTTTCTCCCCCTCCCTCCCTCTGGTTCTCTCTCTCTCTCTCTCTCTCTCTCTCTCTCTCCTCCCTCTGGTTCTCTCTCTCCCTATCTCCCTTTGGTTCTCTCTCTCTCTCTCCCCCTCCCTTCCTTTGGTTCTTTCTCTTATCTCCCCCTCCCTCGCTCCCTCTGGTCCCCCCCTCCTCCTCTGGCTCTCTCTCTCCGTCCCTCCTTCCCTTTGGTTCTTTCTCTTTTCTCCCCCTCCCTCCCTCTGGTTCTCTCTCTCTCTCTCTCTCTCTCTCTCTCTCTCTCTCTCTCTCTCTCTCTCTCTCTCTCCTCCCTCTGGTTCTCTCTCTCCCTATTTCCCTTTGGTTCTCTCTCTCTCTCCCCCTCCCTTCCTTTGGTTCTTTCTCTTATCTCCCCCTCCCTCGCTCCCTCTGGTCCCCCCCCCCCTCCTCCTCCTCTGGCTCTCTCTCTCCCTCCCTCCTTCCCTTTGGTTCTTTCTCTTTTCTCCCCCTCCCTCCCTCTGGTTCTCTCTCTCTCTCTCTCTCTCTCTCCTCCCTCTGGTTCTCTCTCTCCCTATCTCCCTTTGGTTCTCTCTCTCTCTCTCTCTCCCCCTCCCTTCCTTTGGTTCTTTCTCTTATCTCCCCCTCCCTCGCTCCCTCTGCCCCCCCCCCCCCCCCCCCTCCTCCTCTGGCTCTCTCTCCCTCCCTCCTTCCCTTTGGTTCTTTCTCTTTTCTCCCCCTCCCTCCCTCTGGTTCTCTCTCTCTCTCTCTCTCTCTCTCTCTCTCTCTCTCTCTCTCTCTCTCTCTCTCTCTCTCTCTCTCTCTCTCCTCCCTCTGGTTCTCTCTCTCCCTATCTCCCTTTGGTTCTCTCTCTCTCTCTCTTTCCCTCCCTCCCTCTCTCTCGCTCCCAGTTTCCGCTGGTTTGAGATCTCTGTAGTCAACATAAGTCACCATCTGCTGCACTAAAATTACACACTCAGTCTCCACCAAACGCCAGGTTGGTCATGAAATTTTTACTTAGTGAAACCAATCATGATATTGTCATAAAACCCTTCATCTCGTGGAGGTAGTACATTGTGCAAATGTATGATTAACCTCCTGAAGACCAGAGTAATCATGAAAAGGAGCTATCTGCGCTGGAATCTTCTATTGTGGTTAAGTTAGGACTTTTATTATTCTCAGAAACCTGGCTTCAATTTAAAAACAGCCAAAGTAAAATATTTATGTTTATCCCAAATAGTGCAACACATTTTTGTGATTTATTAGTCATGCACAATAAGTGTTTTTGTGCTATCTTCACTGGTCTTTTAAACCCCAAGGATCAGACAGTTTTCCCATCATGAGCCACCAGGCTTGTCAAATAAACAGCCAACAAAGGTGCCAAAGCATCGTTTCCACTCACGCTGAGAGCTACAAAAACCCACCAGGTGTTTACACTACTCATGCAGAAAACTCATTTGACTCTCACAACATCAGCTAGGCTTCCTCTCAGGGTGAAAAGCTGCACCAATGCCTATACCACTTTCCCCGCTATCATGCATTGCTGCTGGTATTTCCAGTTCATGCCTTGTGGTTCCACATCATGTGAGGCCTCTTTAGCCAGATTGCTTCTATGATTTTATTGCAGCCTTGATTAGGTACATGTGACTGACTGGAAACCCCTGCTGGCAACAAGTTAGTGGTTGGAGAAAAGCAGTGATCTTCCAGAGCTCTGAACCGTAACGAGATTCCGTCTTTCGGGTTCGCAAAGTAAAAAAGGCGTTCACTGGGAATTAGATTCCTCGGGCCATGTGGCGCACGGTTGGCCCAACTCACCTCCATTCACACCGACTGTTGTACTTTATTAGAGAAAAAGTTTTTATTTATTTATTTATTTATTTTTTTGCTTTTGCAGCCTCCACTACCTCACAGGAGAAAAATGCCATTCCCGCTTTGCTTCCCGCAGAAAAAGCAGCCATCATGGGCTGGTGAAAGGAAATATTGGGGTCTTTTACAGACAAAAATTCAAAGTGGGGGTAAATGGAAATATGACTGCTTCCCCCTCACAAAAAGCAGAGCACATCAAAACTCACCAGTGGTATTCTCAAGAATATGTTTTCCCTCTTTCTGCCCTGGAAAATGTATTTTCCTTGGGGCTGGGGGCAAGAACTGGAAAGACTCACCATCTGATTTGTATCATGTTTGGTGCCAACATAAACCGTTTGGACAATTTCTCCTTTCCTCTTGGAGGGATTGCTGCATAATGATGCATTTAAAGATTTACCACATCAGATGTGTGTTATACACAGAGTGGGAGGGCCTGGTAAGGTGAGGAGACTAAAAGTAATACCACCTCCTAAAACAATAAAAGAGGGCTGGTTTGTTCTTGGAAATCAAACTGAGCAGAGGGGCTGAGGTGCCACACGACTCTTGTGTGGTCTCAACCTTTCGCTCTTTTTTCTCTCCCTCTTTCTCCTGGCTCTTCCTCCTTCCCTCACGTTCTCTCTCCCCTCTCTTGTGGCTCTAAGCCTGTGAGCTGGCGTAGGCCCTTCCTTGTTACACACCCCAGTGGGGCTTTATAAAGGCTGGGCCGGAGGTCTCAGCAGCCACACACACTCCCTGCCTCTTGGTCTTGCTGCTCTGAAAGCTGCTCGTGTCATCCTCTCCAGCCTCCAGGTTGTGTGGATCAGGGATGCTAATGACACGCCGCAGTGCCACAGGTCTTCAGGTTATCCTTCTGGGCCCCATCCTGATGGCTTTAAGCGTGGCCACTATGGACAGCCAAGGTGAGGAGACATCAGGATATAATTAGTACTTTGCGGCTAGACTGGGGTACATTAGCAGGTAACCTCAACCTGGAAAAGTCTGGGTGTTGAACTGTGCTAATGCATGATCACTGTTTAGGACTGTGTGTGACTTGGAAAGTCTGTGCAGATGAAACCCTGTGTCAGTATATTTTTGTCTGTGTCAACCAGTTGATGCAAATTGTGGAAATGGCTGTTTGTTCCTGCGTTTTCCTTCTGAAGGAGCGTTTCTTTTTGACCTTCCGTAACTGCAGGTCACTAAATCGGGATGAATAGTGCGGATTTAAAATGTCTTTACAAATTATGTCATTTTGACACTTTTCATGTTTACCTAAAGTCAAAGTGGCAGTGAAAGATTACCATGAATATGTGCACACGTTTATGTAATAGGGTTCAGTATAAATGTATTCATGCCATAAAGTTCATGAGTTCTTTGCATCCTCACTCTGCCTTTCTGTGTGTTTGCTTGGAGCAGCGCTGCATGAACTTGAGAGGGAGCCATCCTACTGGGATACACAAGCAAAGAAAACACTGGATGCTGCTCTGAAACTCCGTCCTCGAGAGCACCGCGCTAAGAATGTCATCCTGTTTCTTGGTGATGGTATGTACGCGCAGACATGAAGAAATCATGCCGTTGGTGTTGAAGATGCTCCTAGCAGGATCACGTCACACCTATATTGAAATCCCTTCTCTGGTTGCTGTGTCCTGCCTCGAGCTGATTTTAGGGTACTGCTGTTGACTTACAAGGTCTTACACAATCTCTCGCTCCACCTTACATCACTGGTCTGCTGGACCCATGCTTTGTCTAGAGCACCACGGTTGCTTCTATCCATCCTCAGTTTTCATGGAATGCTCTACCACAAGACCTCAGACAACCATGCTCGGGTCAAGTTTTTAAAGCAAAATTGAGCCTTCTTACTAAAACTTGTGTTTAATACTGGTTTTATTGATTACAGCTTGACTTTTTAGGTGTTTTTACTAACTTCTTGTTTTCATTAGTTCATTTTACCTAGATTTTATTCACAATTCCACCTTATTGTGTTTCAATTGATGCTATCATTTTTATTCTTCATTCGTGCTATGTTCTCTCAACGGTTGTGCAGCGCTTTATATAAAGGTGCTATATAAATAAAGTTATTATTATGCTTGTTATGCAAATCAGGACAAGTGTATTAAATAACTGCTGTATTTTCTGGCTTTGAAGACCAAGTTCACTGAGAAACTGTTTAAAATACGATCAGTCACTCTGTGAATTTAACATGCAAGCAAAACGTTACCCCTATTTCCTGTATTACCCACCGATAGGAAATAGACGGGGGAAGGCTCGGATTAGAAAAGCCAGACTATTGCATGTCACATTGAAAGTGAGTATTTGTGGACTCACCCATCTTGGCTCATAACGGGGAAGGGTGTTGTTGGTTTAGCGTCCAGGAGAATGCAGAGTGTGTCTTGCCTGGTAGAAGCTAACTGTTAGCATTAGCAACCCTGCAACATGGAAGAACTCCTTCAGGCTTGTGGTATTTGTGAAGGTAAAATATTATCATCGCAGAGCAAACAGAGTCAGTGGTAGTCGCAGTGCTGTTAGCCAATCATAGGTAAGATGTCTAAATATCAGGAAATAATTCTCCAAAACCTGGCGTCTTCTTATTCCCAATCCCCCGGCTAATTCCTAGTTCCTAAAACAGTTGCACCTGGAGCTTTTTACTCATAGAGATTTATTCACAAGGCATTTATTTATAGAGACCACAGCAAATGTGTTAAAAAATAAAAGAGAACTTGGTCTTTAATGGTGGTTTGCAAATGCCCTCAAAATATCATATAACTGAAATGATTTGGGGGTTTTATTTGCCATATTCTCAAATACAACTGTCTAAACTGTACCCATGACTCCCAGTTCACGCATGACAAGCCTCTGGGTGAAATTGGATGCAGATCTGTCTATGACCCAACAAATAAATGCCACGGTAAAGTTCTGCTTCTTCCACCTGTGGCGAATTACAGGTCTGACACGGCCACATTTGAAAACAGTAATTCATGCATTTATTATCTCTTGTTTAGACTATGCCAAATCAGTTCTCACAGTGGTCAACACACCCTCTCTCAGCTGTTCACAAAGAGTCCAAAAGGCAGCAGCAAGGTTCCTAATAGGCACAAACAGAAGGAATCATATCACCCTTGTGTTGGCAGAGTTGCATTGGCTACCTGTGGCTTATAAGGTCCAGTTCAAGGTATTTCTTTTCACCTTAATAACCAAGCACCACTCTACCTGTCTTAACTGCTAAACCAGTATGCTCCAACAAGACCCATATGTACTGCAGATCAGCATTTGCTCTTCAATGAAGCATAAAGCAGGCCGTGAATGGGCTTTTGCTTTTGCTGTTTTAAAATTATAGAACGCTCTCCCTTGATCTGTCCATCTGGCTTCCTCGCTAGCACGTTTTGAAATGGCCTTTGGCCATTGATCTCTTGAGATCTTTTACGTAATCTTCACTGTGGTAAACTACCCCACAGGTTTTAGGTTGTTTTTATATGTATATTTAAGTGGGGTTTAACTTTATGCTTATTTTTTTTATTGTTACACGTTTTTAGTTGTTTGATCTTTGACTTGTAACCCTTTCTCTGTTCAGCTCTATGGTAGACTGCCATGCCATTTTAAATATGCCATCCATTCATTTTCTTCTGCTTATCCGGAGTTGGGTCGCAGGGGCAACAGCCTAATTCAAGAGTCCCAGACTTCCCTCTCCCAAACCACTTGGGCCAGCTCTTCCGGGGGAATCCCAAGGCGTTCCCTGGCCAGCCGAGAGACATAGCCCCTCCAACATGTCCTGGGTCTTCCTTTGGGTCTCTTCCCAGTTGGATGTGCCTAGAAAACCTCACCATGGAGACGTCCAGGGGGCATCTTAACTCATTCACTGCCAATGATGACTAAAGTCGTCATTTGCATTTTTTACTGTGTGGGCATCGGAACAAGCCCCCACACCGTGTGAACAAACATCCCAGCTCTAAAGCCGATCTTCATCCGCATACGTCACACATCACGTGATCAGGAAGCAGAAAATCCATGTGTTAGGAGATCGTTTTGGGCTGCTGCTGTAAAAAAAGTGAGGCGCAAACCGGAAAAGCTTCTGCCGATCACAATTCGGCAACGGATTACGAAAGAACGGATAACGCTAGAAACGCGTGGATACTTCCTGATGTAAGAAGTGAGTCCACTCTTTGTTTTGGTAGTTTTGGCATCGACATCATCCTAGCGTGCAACATTCTGTGACTCTTAAAAAACAGTAAAAGCACTGAGAATTGCTGGCAGTGAAGGTCTTTACCGATCAGGAAACAGCTGGCAGTGAATGAGTTAATCAAAACACCCAAGCCAAATCAACTGGCTCCTCTTGATGTGGAGTAGCAGCTGATCTACTCCAAGCCCCTCCCAGATGACCAAGCTTCTCACCCTATCTCTAGATAGAGCCCAGCCACCTTGTGGAGAAAACTCATTTTGGTTTCTTTCTTTCGGTCACCACCCAAAGCTTGTGACTATAGGTGTAGGAAGCTACGTAGATTGACCGGTAAATGGAAAGCTTCGGCTTCTGGCTCAACTCTCTTTTCACCACAACAGACCGGTTTAATGCCTGCAAAACTGTAGACGCAGCACCGATCTGCCTGTTGATCTCACGCTCCAGCTTTCCCTCACTCAAGAACAAAACCCCCAGATACTTAAACTTCTCCAATTGGGGCAGGACCTCATCTCTGCTAGACTCTGCTTCCTCACTGGAAGACGTGCCAATGGCATTGAGGAGGTTTTCAAAGTACTCTGCCCATCGATTCACAATGTCCCGAGCCACGGTCAGAAGCACACTGTCCCCACTATAAGCAGTATTGGTAGCACACTGCTCTCCCCTCCTGAGGCACCGGATGGTGGACCAGAATCTCCTTGAAGCCGTGCGGAAGTCTTGCTCTGTAGTCTCACAGAATTCCTCCCATGCCCAGGTTTTTTCCTCCATGAACAACTGAGTTACATTCTGCTTGGACTGCCGGTATCTGTCAGCTGCTTCTGGAGTTCCACAGGCCTAAAGAACCAGATAGGACTCTTTCTTCAACTTGACAGCATCTCTAACTGCCGGTGTCCACCAGAGGGTTCAGGGGTTGCCGCCACGACAATCACTGACGACCCTGCGGCCACAGCGCTGGTCGGCCGCCTTAACAATGGCGGCAGGAAACAGAGCCCATTTGGTTTCAATGTACCTCTCCTCCCCTGGAACATTTTGGAAGTTCTGTCGGACGTGGGAATTGAAGCTCTTTCTGACAGGAGACTGCCAGACATTCCCAGCAGACCCTCACAATACGTTTGACCCTGCCAGGTTTGACCAGCATCCTCCCCACCATCGAAGCCCACTCACCACCAGGTGAAAGCTCTGCCCGTAATTCTTTTCACCTGAGTATGCAAGACATGCGGCCGTAAATCAGATGAAATGACAACAAAGTTGATTGTCAAGCTGCAGCCTAAAGTATCCCGGTTCCAAGAGCACATATGGACACCTTTATGTCTGAACATGGTGTTCATTATGGACAATCCATGATTGGCACAGAAGTCCAATAAAAACACACTGCACGAATTAAGATCGGGGGGCCGTTTCATCCAAAACGACACCTCTCCGGGTCTCACTGTTGTTGCCCACGTGAACATTAAAGTCCCCCAGCAGAACGAGGGAGTCACCAGAAGGAGCGCTTTCCAGCACCTCCTCCAAGGACTCCAAAAAGGGTGGGTAGTCTGAACTGCAGTTTGGTGCACAAGCACAGACCACAGTCAGCACCCGTCCCCCCAAAGAGGGAGGGCCAGACTGCCAAGGTCCTCACCCTTGGCTGCCATCCATCACACACTGCACCCGACCCCTTTGGCCCCTCCCACGAGTCATGAGCTCATAGGAAGGGTGGCCCACGTTTCCTCTTCGGGTTGTGACCGGCTGAGTTCCATGGGTAAAAGCCTGGCTACCAGGCACATGCCAACTCTAGGCCTGGCTCCAGAGGGGGGCCCCACTGGCCCACGTCTGGGCAAGAGAACATTGTTTCCCTGTATATTTTTGTTCATAGGGGTCTTTGCGCTGCTCTTTGTCTGATCCCTCACCTAGGACCTGTTTGTAATGGGTGACCCTACGAGAGGCATAAAGCCTCAGACAACTTAGCTCCTAGGATCATTGGGACATTCAAATCCCTCCACCATGGTAAGGTGGCAGCCCAGGGAGGGGATGTGCTTTATAAGTAAATTAGACTTTTGATTTTGGACTATAGACTGCCTCTACCAACCAATGATATTTCAAAGTTTTATAACGAGGTTCAAATCTAATAAAATCTAAATCTTTTTAACTTGGTAATGATAATTTAACTTATTAAGTAGATATTATATTGTTGCTGAAACATTTAGACATCTCTCATTATAACCATTTTAACGATAAATTAAAGGCTTTTGCATTTCCACAGCTGAAGAAACCATAAAAAATTAGCAACTGCGGTCCTAACAGGTAGCATTTACGCTAGCCATCTACTTTTTTTTTCCCAAATACAATAAAATACTGCAACTAAACAGATACAAGTACTGTTTCAACATAAAATCACAAAAACAATATTATTTCCTTTGAGTTAGGTGAATTGTGGCTATTTAATGCCTTCATCGAAAAACATTTAAGTATAATTTACATAAAATTACCCCATAAAGTTTTAGGACATTACAGCTTTACAAAAGTCACCATTTTTATTTAGTCCTGATTGATCCGACGGAGACGTTTTACATCTGGATTAGATCCTATTGTGTTCATTCACAGCTAGCAAGACATTAGGAGAAACAGTTTAAAGGCAGAAAGATTAATGAATTGTTTTCCAGTTAACTGCCCTGGTCTCTGTTTTAAATCAAGCCTACTTTGTCAGATTTTCTGGGTGGTCGGGGTTGAGTTTTCTTTGTGCATCTCTCCCGTTTGCTGTGCCCAAAGTCTGTCATCGTTTTATGCTTTTAGTTAAATCCATCGCAGCTGTTTCCTTCAACTAAGATTTGTAAAGCCACGGAGAAAATCCAAGAGATAAAATACATCCCATAATTGTTGTAACAAAGTCATGAAGAGCATCTTTGTTTTATTATAGCAGAAACTAGATACGTTCTAGTAGCATTTTCCAACAGAGTCACTGCTTATCTTAAAATGAGGATGCTGGGATTTCTACACGACTGTTTGTTAAATGTGTTGTTAATTAGGTCAATAAATGGAGTATGAAGCCGTGAAAGGTTGTGATTCTTACTTGTCTATCATCTTTTGGCAGGAATGGGTGTGTCCACGGTCTCGGCTACACGAATCCTACGAGGTCAGATGGAGGGCGGGACGGGCGAAGAAACGGTGCTGGCCATGGACACTTTTCCCTACTTGGCCCTGTCTAAGGTAAAAACAGCCAAGGCATCTATCAGATCGACCAATCAAAGTTGTGTTTCTTTTCACACACGAAGAAAACATTTGCTTTCATAAAGCAGATAATTAAGATAATAGGGAGACTTGTTTTTATGGTATTTAGAAAATACTTCCACATCTTTTTACACCAATCAAAGATTTTCTTTATTAGACTTGTTATTGTATTGATCTTTTAAGGTGCTGTTATATGTGTGTGTTTGCTATTACAATATTATGTGTTTGATCTGCTGTGTGTGGAAACGTAGAAAATAAATAAGAACTCGGTCCTGCGGAGGGGGACGGAGACGTGCCCCATTGTTTAGCTGTTGAAAACGATGGAGAGCACAAGTCTGTGATTGGTCAGGATGCCACTTCTTTTTACCTTTGTTGACAGCACCGCTAGTCCTCCCCCAAAAAACAAAATAAGTGCCGAAGACATCTAGCAGCAGACATGGACACAGAACGATATGAACATTGAGTCATATGTATTCATTTTGTTGACGTCTGAATTGCTGTGCTACAACAGAAATACATACATTTTAACACATTTGATGTAGAAACAACAAACAAATGCCAAGGAGCTGGCTCCTTGTACGTATAAATCTAAGAACGAGTTTGTGGTTCATGGCTGCTTGTTGGCTCGCTGCAGTGCAACGCTCAGAGGGGGGTGGAACAGAAAGATGCACTCCAGATGAATTCCTCAACCCAAAACCCAGTTTAGGGGTTTGCATGTGTTCATTTTCCTCTTGATTTCCACCAACATGCCACATCTTGTTTCATAATAGCCCCCTTTAGCCTCTTGTTTCATAATAGCCCCCTTTAGCCTAAGGTCTTAAACCACAGAGAAAAAAAAATATTTAAAGGATTTGGTTAAAGTCCACTCTTTACCTAAAATGCTGACAACAAGCTGTAAACAGTGAACACAGACTCTGGTTCTCAGGCAGCGTTCCAAACAATCATAATCCCTAAATGATTGCAACCTGCATGCCGAGGAGTGGTTCAGGCACTATTAATTATCAGTGGTGTTTATGTCTCAACCTATCATCAAGACAGAGGCTATACATTATTAGAGAACATTGTACGGAACAATTTATAGACCTTGCAGAGCCTTTTCTGAGAGGACAGAACATGTGGTGCTTTTGCAAACAGCCGCTTGTACCTTTACCTACAGCTCTTATCTTTACAGGCGGTTTACTGACTTTCATGCTACAGGCTTTATCACTTGGTGAAGGAAAATGCAAAAAAACTGTGAAGCGGCAGAGCTTTTTTGTTGATGTTTGCAGATGGAATGAATTTACATTATCATCCCATTGCATTATTTTTGGCTGCTAAGGAGAAAAACCTTTGCCGCTAAGATTTGCTAAACCTTCTAAACCCTGACCAATGAGTCCAAAAAGACTAGAAATTACTGATGGGAAACAGACAATTAATACAAATGTTTTTTATTTTTAACTCATTCATTAATTCCTGTGATAGAGGCAAAAATAAGGTCATAAAAGAAAGGATTTTGAGGTGTTTTATCACTATCAGAAATACAGTTTTCATGTTGATTTAAAGGACTGGGCATAAAACTGAGGATAACCCCTAAAAGCTGTTGTAGCAAATTTGACAAAAAGCTAGGCTCACAATCCCTATTGCTTGCAGGGTGGTTGGGCGGGACCAAGGGCGTCAGTTTGTTTTCAGAATTGCTGGGGACAATAACCATACACTTGAGTGGGGTTTAAAAATTGCTGGGGACAATAAAGTAGGCTAGCACAGGGGTCGGCGGCTCTGGAACCGCATGCGGCTCTTCCATCCTTCTGATGCGGCTCTCTGTGCTTGTGAAATAATGAATTGATATTTAAATAAAATGCTTTATATTTTACTGCATTAATTTTACATCTGTAAGCTAATTCTAAATGTAAAGATTGTCTGCGTAAACCTGAACAGTTCCAACCCGGTCTTACTGTGAGACCGGGTTGATGCGTCACGCTTGTGCGTAATCATATCGGCGCTTCTGAGCTGCTTTCTGACCTTCCCCACCTACAAAGTTTAATTACAACAATCAAACGTGACAGAGCCTGGATTTGTATTCTGAACAGTCTAAACATGTTTTAAAAAGAAACATAGGACAAAAGTGGCACCTGCTCAGTAAAACCATCAACAGGGTGAAAAATACCAAAAATTGAAGGCAGAGACGGGCTACAACTTCTGGATCCATTTTATATAAATTGTTTTATTGATTATCGTCTAATGAAAGATAATTAAGACGTACACGAGCGATCAGGCGCGTTGCAAGCTTTTCAAAAGTGTGGGGGATGTTGTCTGTGCCTAAAATAATTTCATGTTATTCATCTTGTTAGTTTAATTTCCATAATAGCGGAGCAGGTGCGAATTTTAGACGCGTCACGCACGTCTCCGTTTCAAACATGTTTAAACTGTTCAGAATACAAATCTAGGCTCTGTCTCGTTAGATTGGTGTAACTAAAGTTTGTACTGAATGAAACTTTACATTAAACCATGTTGAAAAGTAAAGGATCCGATTAAATAGTTTCCCCTCATTTACAGTCAGTACAGTACAGTGCAGTGCGCACGGCTCTGGAGTTAATCAAGTTTAATTGTAACATTAATGTGTTACTGGACACGCTGGTCTGGTTGGTTAGACCAGTGTTTGAAGTGGAAAACACACACACACACACACACACACACACACACACACACACACACACACACACACACACACACACACACACACACACACACACACACACACACACACACACACACACCAATTAAAATAATGCTGATAGCGTGGATAGAAGACAGGTGATGGTTTACGTATTTAAATGATGATCAGGCTGCTGTAAAATGTAATCTCCTTCCACATCCAGACACAATCATCCTCTATTCTTTCTCTATTTGCTCTGCTTTTGTCTGGGCTGATCAGCTGATGGTGCGCGCGGCACGCCTAGCGGCTGATGCACATTTTACGCATTTGGAGAGGTGGACTGGATGCTTTGCGTTTACTGGAAGTTGGTCCACTTAACGCACGGTTGTAGACTAAATATTAATGACAAATGAATGAAAATTAAATTGTGAGTTTTTACTTCATATTTTAGAAATAAAAATGACGGGGGAAAACATTTATGACGTCTTTTTAAACTAAATTTTCTAGCGCGACCTGCCTGCTTCACTTAAGTCACTGCTTATTAAGGTCCGTCCAAAATTACCGTGGCCCACCCAAAAATGAAAACCTGGCGCCGCGCCAGTTATAAACCTCTGCAAATTGTTGTTCTTCACTTTATCAAACTCAGACTTTGTACAGCTAAATTCAAGATGTAAAATTATGAATTCAGTCGAGCTCTTCCGTCCCTCCCTCTCCTGCTCTCCTGGAAACCCGACATCGGCTGGGAGGTGAAGAAGGAGATGAGGCAAACAGAGTGAGTGCGACGTAAAGAAACCAGACTGGTGTGGAGGTGAGCAAAACAGCTAGAAAAGTGTGGGTGTTGAATCCCCCACGGGTGCGATGCCCCCGGCTGCTGTCACCTGTTGTGAGCAGCGCTCTGCTGTCTGAGGCTAGGCCCCGCCCGCAACGCTGCGGCTGCTGCGGTGTTTTCTTTACCGTGGGAAACGGGTAATAATGGCTCTTTGATGGGAACAGGTTACCGACCCCTGGTATAAGATCTGAGCAGGTAAAACAAAAATCCTCATCAGCAGGCTTTTTTGAAAGTGGGGGGGACACAGCAGCCGATCACGAATTTTGCCGGGGACATGTCCCCGGCGTCCCCGGTTAAAATGACGCCTATGGGCGGGACCAACAACCAGATGGTCCAATGGCTGCTTTAAGTCCGAAACGTGTTATTGGCGGAGGTTTTTAGACAAAATGTGAGACAATCACTTAATTTTTTATTTAATTTGTTTTTAGTCTCCACAAAATATTTATAGCTATACTTTGTTAGAATGTTGTTAAGAGGCATGAAAAAATATTTAAGCTAATTTGGATTCCAAATTTGCCATTGCACCTTTAATGCATGATATATGCAGCAATGATAATTCAAATGCTTTTTAAACTGAACTAATCATTGTCTAAAATTAATGATATATTAATACATAATAAAAAAAATAATATAAAATTATATAATAATTTGTTTTATTTGACCATACAATTTTATAACAACAGTAATGGATGAGTAAATTGGCCTTTGCCACATTTAGATCCATCAGAGGGCAGTAAACACGTATAAGACTGGATCTGGCAGGTTTCTGGTGAACGTACTAATCCTGGTCTTATTGATGTGTCTGCTTTAAGGCCAGAATTAGTTTGATGTGATTTTAGTACAACTGTTCACAAAGAGTTAAAGCAGTACAAAGTATGAAATGATCTTCAGAAGGTCAAAGCTACCTAAATAAGTGGACAAGACAGCACGTTTGAATGGATTAAATGGGTGCAAATTGTCTGTGGTAAAAATAAATCAACATAACACTTGTGGTTGTGGAATCAAAGAGACTCAACATGTGAATGTGTGTGTGACTAAATTTGTGATAAATGTGCTTTTTATGTCACATAACCTTGCCATCTTTCTGCAGACCTACAGTGTGGATAAGCAAGTAGCAGACAGCGCCAGCACAGCGACAGCCTACCACTGCGGGGTGAAGGCCAACGCCAAGACAGTAGGACTCAGCGCCAAAGCAGTGGCCTACGAGTGTAACACCACCTTCGGAAACGAGGTCTACTCAGTGCTACGACGTGCTAAAGCACAAGGTGAAAACAACAGAAGAGTCATAGTGGGTGAGATGTGCAAAAGCAGAAAGGTCAGCTAGTTGAGACTGTATTCCTATCTCAAGATATACATTCAATGGACCTATCAGATAAACGTGTGATTAAAAGCATGCTACTTGGTGATAAATCAGTGTGCAGTCTGCATGCAATTCTCAAAATTCTTCTCACAATGCCGTTAGCCTATTGGTGGTAGTTATTTTATTTACCTGTTTGTTTTGAAACTGGCTGTTTGTGTTTCAAAGCATGTATATTTTATATCTGTGGTGAACAGCTATGATTCTGGTTTGAGTGTGTCTTTCTTGTGCAGGTAGGTCCGTCGGAATAGTGACCACCACACGTGTCCAACATGCATCCCCAGCTGCTGCCTATGCCCACTCCGTCAGCCGTAGCTGGTACAGCGATGCAGATCTTCCCTCAAGTGCCCACAGACATGGATGTGTTGACATAGCAACCCAGCTGGTCACCAACTTTGACATTGACGTAAGAGTTCGTTCTTTTTTAGGCATTTTTTTCTTATCTGATTAAATATTAAGACACGTGTTTTACTGAAAGCATCACTAGAACTAAGCTTATCTTTAACTGTTTTATGATTATTTTGTTCACTGCTGATAAAAAGTGAACCAATTGACTTACTGTCATTTAGTGGTAAAGGTTTATCAGAATATGACTCATATTTCTGCTGTACCAAACAGTTCAAGGACAGTATTGCAATGGGACAGAATTAGAAAACATCACAGAACAACATCCCCGAGCTAAATCTTATTTATTCTGCATTTTTCATACTTTAATTTTGCAAAGTTGTATCCAAAATTAATGAAATACTCAGAAATACTTTTGTGCACATGTAGTTGTGCCTCAGTGTTTCTAACACATTAAATAAATCATCTTAGGTGATGCAGAACATTGTTTTGATAATACTGTTTAATAAATTGCATTGAGTTTGCATAAAAATGCATAGCATAAAATATATTCTATGTAATACATTTAAGATAAGCTTCTTCATCAGTGTTTGAAAAATAATATAATAATAAATCCTGAAATAAATAAAGAATTGCCCTCATTTTAAATAGTTTAAATATAAAAACATATGTGTCTGACTTGTCCCCTAGCTTTTCTAATGGTTTTTCTGGAGAGGTTCACAGCCAAGTGTAAAACAGCTGAGATGAAAATCAGCTTCTTTAAATTTTTAACTTTTGTCTTGAGTCAGAAAAGGGTAGAATGCCTTCTCCAGGTCAGGGATGAGGTCCTGCCCAAAGTGGAGGTGCTCAAGTATCTCAGGGTCTTGTTCATGAGTGAGGGAACAATGGAGTGGTGGATCTTGACTATTACTAGCAGGCGTGATCACATCACTCCTGTTTTGGTACATCTGCACTGGCTACCAGTAAATTTCCATGTCAAGTTCAAGATCCTGACTTTTGTTATTAAGATTCTGAATGGCTTTGCCCCAGGGTATCTGTCTGACTTGATTAACCCCTACATGCCAAACTGAGCTCTGAGGTCACCTGACCCCTATGAAATATAAATAGCGGGGTGAGTGGGCTTTCACGTCTAGAATGCTCTACCTCTCTCTGTCAGGCAGGCTCCCTCCCTCGTTTGAAATCTGCTGTGACATGGTGTTATCCCTATTGTTGATGTTTTCTAGTTTATTGTGTCATGTTTGCTGTTGTTGTTGTCTCACTTACTGTGTTTTATCTTTGTGCCTCTACAACACTTTGATCAGCTGTCATGCTGTGTTTTTAAATGTGCTTTAGAAATAAAATGGTATGGTATTTCATTAACTGGAGCTATTTAATGCTTTGAATGTGTCTCTACTTAATTAAGACGTTTCAACTTATTGACACAGTCTGATTAGCTAATTGCAGCCAGCAGTTAATATAAACACCACATTACCAATTTTTACAAATTATTATTTCAGCTGAAATATCAGTGTTAGAAATATTGTGTGTGATCCTGAATGAACTGGCAACGCTACTTTGCTGCTTCTGGTGATATTCATGCTTAATTTCTGTAAAATTGTAGAATTCCATGTAAATATAAGCGAAATTCAAAACTGATGAAGATGCAAAGGTTTATAAAATATCATTTTCATGAACCACGATTCTGAAATTCTGAAGAGACTGAAGTTGATTCAGATTTGGTCTTGTCTAATTCAGACCAGCTGTTAGCTTGTCAGTCTTGTAAGACTTAAAAAACAATAACATTTTAATTATTTTACCTTTTAAGCAGAGAAACCTTCAAAATGGCTACAATATTTTTACAACACTGTAAATTATCTAACAATCATCTAAAGAGCAACAACTAATTTCAAAGCAAAATTAAAAGAAAACCTTGAATTTTGGGTAGAATTCTTTATTTAAATCCCCCAATTTGCAGAAACAGATGTAAGGACTCAAATGCAGCACACATAAAGCATGCTAACAAGATTTATTTCAAATCAAGACTTAACTTTTAAGACACAGGCGGCTATATTTTATCTGATGTCTTTTTTAAGGTGATTCTGGGTGGAGGCCGAATGTACATGACACCAAAGGGAACCCCAGACCCCGAGTATCCCACCTCCAGCTCTCGCAAAGGGAGCCGTAAAGACAAGAAAAACCTCATTGATGTGTGGCTGAAGGCCAAACCGGTAAGGATTTTCTCGTGACACATTTAAAATTTCCAAAGAATTCCTCTAATGACACATTTATAGGACCTTTAATTTGTATTTCAGAACAAGAAATCTCATTATGTGTGGCACAAGAAGGAGTTTGATGAAATAAACGTTAAAACTACTGACCGTCTCATGGGTGGGTATACAAATGTAAAAACAGGCACACAAAACTAAAATTAGAGCTAGAAGATCATATTTCATCTTTATAGAAGGTCATAACAGCGTTCTATAAACTTTACTCATGATGTAATCAAGATAAGGGCTGAAGGTGTGTTTCTTTGCTGATAATGCTTACAGTGGTCATGAAGGGTTATTGTTGACATCGCAGCTTCAGGTTGCCTACCTATCACGGGAGTCAAACCACCATCTCTGGTCTCGGATATTGGTCATGCTGATCTTGTGTTATCCGTTAGCTACACAAAACCACAGGAGTCACACTTGGCGCTTTCTGGAAGCCACACTGCCCCAATGCCCGCTCAGCTCAGCAAAAAAGGGGAGGCCCCTGCCTTTATTGAATAACGCAGAACTCACATCACATGAAACCTTACGCTGAACAAAATAGAGCCCATGATATTGTGGCAGAAGCATCGTATTCTAACAGTTATGCTTTTTCATATAGATGCTTCAGACCCTATTTGTCTTTGTCTCCAGGTCTTTTTGAGCCCAAGGACATGAAGTTTGAGGTTTTCAGGAATATTTCACGAGATCCATCCATTGTAGAGATGACAGAAAAGGCCATTCAAATCCTCAGAAAGAATCCAAAGGGGTACTTCCTGTTTGTAGAAGATGAGTAGCACAAAATATTCACTCAATGTAAAAACGGAACAATTACATTTTAAGAATGAAAATAAATGTATTTAAAGTCTCTTTCCGGAGTATTTCTCTTATCCGATGGCACCATCTATTGGCTGACATGCATATCACACAAAATGGTTGTTGCTCTGTTTTTTTAAGATGGCGACTTCACGTTTCTAGTTTTTAAATGTGCTTCTGTAGCCGACACACAGAGATAAAACACGATGTTTTACGAGTATTATTCTCATGTCATGTTGTGTTCTCATATATTTATATTTTAGAGACTTACTTGTCCATGAAAAGTTAATCAACTCTGCATCAGCCGGGGTATTCCTTTAATTTTAAGCAAGTAAGCGGTAGTCTAACGCTATTGGTTTGTTCTGGTCGGCACTCAGCTTCCTATTGCACGGAGCTCTGCTGGGCAGGGGGCGTGCTTAGCAAAAAATTTTTAAAAAGATGTATTGCTTACATTATATCACAGTACATGATGAGATAATCACTTTTATGGATTCCTGACAAATCATGCATCATTTCTGAAAGGGGAAAACTCCGGAAAGATACTTTAAGTGTTAAATTATTTAGTGTTGTTTTTAAATATTTTCTTTTTTCTGACTTACGAGGGAGAATTGATCACGGCCACCATGACGGCATTGCTAAACTGGCCCTGACAGAAGCTGTGATGTTTGATCACGCCATCCAGCGGGCTGCACGGCTCACCAGAGAATCCGACACACTGACTGTGGTGACCGCTGATCACTCTCATGTCTTTACCTTTGGTGGGAACACTCCTCGAGGGAATCCGATTTTTGGTATGATTCAAAACCCTTTAAAGCTGTGGTCTGTAGCATGACATTGTGAAGGAAAAGAGGGGAGAGAGAGAAATTTGAATGTCCTGCCCCTGTTCTTCTGAAAGCCATGCCTCATACCGCGCACGAGCAGTCAACAGAGAGAGCTAAAACAAAAGCTAAATGTAGCGTATGAGCGCTACACTAGTCACTTAGTTCCAGTACACTAAAGATAAATCCCTTTTTGTTCCATTCCCTCCTCATTCAATTAGCTTGAAGTTCACAGACTGACATTAATTCAATGCAGGTCAAGTTAGCATTTAAGCTAGCACTGCATTAATGGAAAACACAGCATATAACATTTATCTGCACTAATTTTTATTTTTATTTAAATATAATTATGGTTACAGTACTCTAAAGTACAATAAATTACTCAGGATCTACCTGTCCAAATGAAGCTTTGCCAACTTTTATGGATTTTAAACCCTTGTAGATCACAAAGCTCCCTCTATCGTTTAAAACAGGGGTCCCCAATCCTGGTCCTGGAGGGCCAGTACCCTGTTTGAACTGTTTCAACACACCTGATTTCAAAAACTCAAACTAATTTAACGTGTCCATCCTAAAATAAGCAAAGAACGTTACATTTTCATACAATAAATTCAACTTTTGTACATTTAGGTGTCTACTTTTTGCTTTTGCGTAAGAACTGATTGACACCACTAATGTCTTTCCACCATTATTCAGGTCTGGCGCCAAAGAATGCAGATGACGAAATGCCTTTCACCAGCATCCTTTACGCCAACGGCCCCGGTTATGTGCACATAAATGGAACCAGAGGGAACATCACAATGGTGGATTACTGTGAGTGCAAACTAATGTTTTTCAGATGCATGTGATTCTCTGTGCTGATGTGTGTACTGACAGATTTAACTGATGTGGTTTTGGCTGACTCATGCCTGTGCTTGTCTTTGAAAGCAAAGACGAAACATGTTGTTAATGGCAGACAAGGTCCTGTCATTTGTTTTGTTCTCTCCACAGAATTCATTGGGTTTATGTAACGGTGCTTTTAGAAGATCTTACTTTGTGAAACATTGAACTCCTTGTTCTGCACCATTCATGTTCCAGTAATACAGTAATTCAATCAATGCAAAGTCACTGCATGATTGGGTATAACCAAGAATGAGAATACAAATGCCCTTAAAGTGGTCACCTTTTATAACCCCTAATGTTTTCTTCTTTAATGGACTGCTGTTATTTCTTGGAACTAGCAGCTATACACACAACCCTTTTAGGCCCACACACATTTCCACATTTGTAGTAGCTGTATCTCTTTAGCAAGATTAGCATTTTCCAAAACAATCTGCAGTCTTAAATCTTTTAAGGGTTTTCTGCCTGCTCATGGATTATTTATGTACTTAAGTGTCAAGTGGGATTTTTATTTAGTATAATTATTGCTGTATTATTATAGAATTGCTTGATAAATTTAATATGAAAGTTAATAATTGTTATATTATCATTACAAATCAAATGTTAAAATTTTAAATAAATGTGAGACTTTTGAATATTATTTAATGTGTTGGGTCTTAAAGGGTTAAGGGATTTATTTTTAAAATTCATCCATCTGGAGATGCATGAAGCGCTGCAGAAGACGGCATCACTACTCTGATGAAGGATATGAGCCAAAAAAAACTGCTGCAACGTTATTTTTAAAAGTAAAGCTTTCGAGCAGGCTGACACATGAAAGACATTATCTAGAGCAGGGGTCCTCAGTTATAATTATCTGAGGGTCACTCACAAAAAAGACCCAGAAGCAAGAGGGCTGGATGGGGGGGGGGGGGGGGGGGGGGGGAGATGGACACCGCTCCCGGGGCAGAGGGCCCCTACAGAGAAAACACTGGATTAAAATGAGTAAAAATATAATAAAAGGACTAATATAAATGACAAAAGTTAGAAAATAAGTAATAAATAAAATCATTTAGACAGTAAAATAATAATATTACTGAATAATTACTGAATAATTACTGAATACTTATTAAATAATAAAACTGTGCTAAAATATAATCATATAAAACATGCAAAGCAAGTAATAAAATATAATCATGTAAAACGAGGAATAAAACTGTAGTAAATATTTAGATAAAAGCTAACCTAAAAAGATGGGTCTTGAGCCTGGACTTAAAAACATAAACGTTCTCAGCGGCCCTGAGGTCCTCTGGCAGCTCGTTCCAGAGGCGAGGGCCATAACACTGGAAGGACGCCTCGCCGTGAGTGTGTGTCCTGACTTTAGGGATGACCAGGAGACGCCTGCCAGAGGAGCGCAGAGGCCATGAGGGTTCATATGGTAAAAGCAGTTCTGATAGATAAGAAGGCCCAAGACCGTTAAGACACTTAAAAACCATTAGAAGAACCTTAAAATGGATCCTGAAACATACGGGGAGCCAATGCAATGATTCTAAAACTGGTGTCATGTGCTCCCGCCTCCTGGTCTTCATCAGGACACGTGCTGCCGCATTTTGTAGAAGTTGTAAGCCTGAGATGCTCTTTTTAGGAAGACCAGAAAGCAGGGCATTGCAGTAGTCTATCCTACTGGTGATTAAAGCATGCATCAGCATCTCCGTGTTGGCCCCAGAGAGAATGGAGCGGACTCGGGCGATGTTCTTTAGATGATAAAAACCTTTTTTGTGATATTTTTAATGTGTGGGATAAAAGTCAGCTCAGAGTCAAAAATCACACCCAGGTTCTTCACTTGTTCAGATGGATTAAAAGACAGAGATTGTAATTTCGGTAAAAGCTTCTCTCTCTGGGCCTCAGGACCAATGACTAAAACTTCAGTTTTGTCCTGGTTGAGCTGGAGAAAGTTCTTTGCCATCCAGGATTCAATGTCTAAAATACAGTTAAAAAGTGCATCCATTGACCGAGAGTCATCAGGAGACACGGAGATGTACAACTGTGTATCATCAGCATAACTGTGAAAGTTAACCCCGTGTCTCCTGATGACTCCGCCAAGAGGGAGCATATAAAGATTAAAAAACACTGGGCCTAAAATTGAACCCTGGGGCACACCACATGTAATCCCATAGACCCTAGAGCAACAGGTATCCAAACTCACCATGAAAGTCGTGTCTGTGAGGCAGGATGTGAACCATCTATGTACAGCACCAGAGAGGCCGATCTGTTTTAAACCAGTTAAAAGAATAGTGTGGTCTACTGTATCGAAGGCAGCACTTAGATCCAGTAGAACCAACACTGTCAACTTTTGTTTATCATAATTTACTCTAAAATAATTTAAAATCTTCAGAAGGGCCGTCTCGGTGCTGTGGTTCACCCTAAAACCAGACTGAAATTTCTCTAAGACATTATTAGTGTTTATAAAATCATTTAGTTGATTTAAAACCAACTTTTCTAAAATTTTGCTTAAAAATGGTAAGTTGGATACCGGTCGATAATTGTTTAATTCATTAAAATCTAAATTGCTCTTCTTCAACAGGGGCCTCACCACCGCCCTTTTAAAGGCAGCAGGAAAGACCCCCGTCTGAAGGAAGCAATTCATCAGGGTTAAAATCTCATCACTAAAAGATCCATAAAATTGTTTAAAAAATGAAGTTGGGATTGGGTCCAGAACACATGTGGTGGGTCTCACTGAGGATAAAACTTTATCAAGAGTCTCAGCTTCTACCAGGACAAAGCTGTCCAGTGTTTCCTCTGGTGTAGACACACATTCAGATTTATCTAAGATCTTATTACTTATGGAGGATAAAATATTCCGTCTGATGGTGTCTACCTTCCCTCTGAAGTGGGCTGCAAACTCCTCACAGAGTGCATTTGAGGGTGTTTTCTGAAGTGAATTGGATGTACGGTGTTTATGTAACCGTCATGCCCATGCTGTCTTTGGAGGAGCAGATAGGAAACAAGATGTCCTGTAACTTAAAATGAACCAAAGCGTTCTCCCAGTTTCTCTTTAAGTTGAATTTAACATCAGTTTAGATGTTCATCAGTGACCTTTCTCAGTGGCCTAGTGGTAGAGTGTCCGCCCTGAGACTGGGAGATCAGGGGTTCGACTCCTGGTCGGGTCATACCAAAGACTTTGAAAAAATGGGACCCAATGCCTCCCTGCTTGACACTCAGCATTAAGGGGTTGGATTGGGAGGTTAAACCACCAAATAGTTCCCGAGCGTGGCTTGTCTGCAGCTCACCGCTCCCCCAGGGGATGGGTCAAATGCGGAGAACAAATTTCGCACACACACCTGTGTGTGACAACTAATGGGACTTTAACTTTAGTTTATCATTATGAAACAAAAGAATAAAGTGGAACAAGAACTTCTGTCTTCTATTTCTCTCTCCTTTTAACTTCTCCGTGTCCCTAAGTAAAAGAGACAGCTGATCACGCTGCAGCCGCCGTCACTGACCCCGCTCCCTCCCCAAGACCAGATCTCCCGACATCACAGCACTCGGTCTGACTGAGCGCTTCCAGGAGAAACAATAATGAACTTATGAAAATGATAACGCGTGTTTGGAGGAGCGTCCTCTGATCCTCTCTCTTGTGTGAGCAGATAATCTCTCTCTCTCTCTCTCTCTCTCTCTCTCTCTCTCTCTCTCTCTCTCTCTCTCTCTCTCTCTCTCTCAGTCGCTGATTGAGTGAGCAGAGCGCGCCGCGCAACAACCCACTCAATCAACATAATTCATGGCCCAAATCCAACAGAACCGATCGGGCTCATTTGGTTCAGGTTCGGTCTCAGGTTATAACTCCGCTTAGCCCTGCAGTACCACATAAAGGCAGACCAAAGTTTCCTAACCGGTAAATGTGGAGAACACCTCTCTGACAGATGTGGATGTTACGCTGGTGCCGCCGTTAAAATAACAAAACTACATTCCACTATAATTGATTACTCTTCTATGATGCAGAATCGTTTATGCTCGCATCTCAATGCATTGATTATTTGATTATTTTGCTCAGCTCTATCTATCCTAAACCCCCCGGTCGGCCGTCGGGGGTGGAGGTGGGGGGGCACGCGAGGGGTTTGGTGGCCACAAAGAGAGGGCTCGCCGGCCGGACATGGCCCGCGGGCCGCCATTTACGAACCACTGATCTAGAGCAAAGCAAAACACTAATTTCAGAACGCTTTATCTTACCTGCTGTGCAGAACGTATTTGTTTTACTTATAAAGCCAAAATCTATGTCAGTAATGTTTTTTAAAGGGTTTCAGTTACCATTGAAGTTTTAAAAAGGCCATAATTGTGTTTTCTTGTGTGAATCTTGTGAATATACAATACTCACAAAAATGATTCTAAAAAGTATATGTGCAATAAAAGTATTCAGAGTATATGTACTATTTTCTTACATTATTATTTTTTGAAGGTTACATATTAGGACTTTTTTTCATAAGGTATAATAGTTCTATGGTCTAAACAAAACATTTTCATGAAGGTATTTGCACAAAATCCCTCTCACGAAAAGTGATCTCAGCAATTGTATTCCACTATCTTCCAGCTCTTTCAGGGCTCTGTCACTTAAAACTAAACTGGAGCTGGCCACGCCCACCCACCCCCCACTCAGGCTGCTACTGACCCTTTGCACATGACGTCCCGCCACTCATGGGACTGCCCCGTTCGCCATGATGGACGGCAAAAAGACCGTTTACACATGTTGAAACTCCGGTGAAGCTAGTGAAAACAAGCCCGTTTGTAGCCTTTTATAGTTTTTATTTAGTTAGTTTCAAAGTAAAATGGTAACAACTTGCAACGTGGCTGACTGCACTAACAGACAAGGATGTAAAGTCAACTCGTTTATTTATTTATTTATTTTTTCAAATAACGTTGATCGAGACTGAGGACGAAGATGAACTGCGGCGATCAATCAAATGGACTAGTAGCCCTCAGGTTTACAGCGAACACCAGCAACAAAAACTAGTAGGGATCTGGACATTTTTTAAATCAGCTTCGGTGTAGGGTGAAATGCTGTTTATAACATAATGTTATAAATCCAGTCGGGTGAATTTAGGCAAAGTAGGCAGCTTGTTTACAGCGGTGAACAGCTGCAGAGAGAACTTAAGCTAACGTTCGTAAGCTAGTTAATAACACTTAACTTTTGTAAATACCGCTCTTTCTGAGCCCCATCTAGGTGCGCTACTTCTTCTGATAACTGAACATGGGCTCAAACTAGTAGAGGAAATGCTAAAGATCGCAAAAATCAATTTCAGGCTCTACTTTTCCCTTTGTTTAGTACTGGTGTCGCACACTGTTTACATGCTTTTGCCATCCAGTATGGCGGACCCACGTGATTAGGTGACGTAGGTGCAAAGGGTCAATATAGGAGCCTAAGTCACGCCCATCTATCTCTATGTGGTGATGTCACACATGCGACGTGCCAATGTAGTCATGCTAATTACGAACTTTAACAAGGTGATAAATCTCAAAGTACGTGACTGGCGTGGTCAAAACTCCCATCATTACTTTTCATTTGAACTGCAGTACAACATATGTGTGATCCAGGGCCTAAGGCAAAGCGGGTTAGAAAATAACGTTTTTAGCCCCGTTGACTTGACTTCATTTTTTCGTTCTTCCGGGGAACCCATGAGCTGACCAGAAATGGAGTAGACTTAGGCTCTCTACTGCACATGAAGTCCAGCCGTTCGTGACACCGCCCTCCTCTAGGTGACCCAGTCAGTGACTAAATCTATTAAGTATCCAGATTTATTTAGGTTGTTTTTAAAATCAGCTTCAATGTAAAGTGAAGTGCTGTTTAACACTTATTGTTATGAATCCACCACGACAAAATCTGGCCAAGTCGACAACTTGTGTACATCGTGAACAGCAGCAGTGAGAATGTAAGCTAACGTTTGTAAGCTAACTATAACACTTAGCTTTTGTAAATATCTCTCTCTACAAGAACAGTTGACATAGGTGCAAATAATCAATAAGTTGAGTAGTTTGGATATCCAGGAGGGGCTTGGTGTAGAGCAGCTGCTCCTCTAGCAACAGCTCTCTCTTGCTTGTGAGAGGCGGTTCTAATCTACTTTCCCTATTGTGATGTCACAAACAAGGGCTTTCTGAAACAGCTTGTTTTAGCCACATAATTCCTAAAACCGAACACTGACGGGAAATGGATGCACAGGTTTTTAGAGGCAGTAGGCATCCATAGGTCAGCACAAAAGGATACTAAAGGTGAGTTTTGCATAATATGTCCTCTTTAAGGGCTAAAATGACAATGAGATAGGTCTGTTTTGGTAGTGAATAAAATAATCTAGATAAAAATAAAGTTGCTCTCTGCTTTCTGATCGTAGATGATGAGGAGTACATGCAGCAGGCTGCAGTCCCGCTGGATGCTGAGACACACGGAGGAGAGGATGTAACCATCTACGCTAAAGGCCCAATGGCTCACCTCTTTCATGGGGTGAAGGAGCAAAACTATGTGGCGCACGTCATGGCCTACGCCGCCTGTTTGGAGCCCTATAGAAACTGCCCTCCTCTCCCTCACAGCCTCTCTTCATCCAGCTGTGTGAACATACACTCTGGCTTTCTAATCATTATGCTTGGACTCCTTTGTTTTCTCAGATGACCCCTAAACACACACACACACACACACACACACACACACACACACACACACACACACACACACACACACACACACGCACGCAAGCACACACACACACACACACACATACACACACATTTTAGGTCTTACGGGCATGCAGCAACACAAACTATGCACTAAGTGCTCACAACACATGCACACATGCATCGTTTGGGAGGCTGGTGAATCAAAATGCAGGGATAAATATTCACCGTACTGTAGTTTTTACCAAATAAATAACTTGCATCTAATGTTTTTTATTCACTCATATTTTCATCTTACCGTGCATTTAAAATCCAAACTCAAACATTTATCATTTAAAGCCATACTAGGCAGTTTTGCTTGCTTTTTTTTTAACACCCCCTAGAGTCAGTTATTAATTCACCGTGGTTATTTGAAAAATGGACTTATCTCCGTGCTGTGTGTTTATCTTTTTTAACACCTAAATCTAACTGCTGAAATGTTTCCACAGCCGTCAGTAGTTTCTACAGAAGTGGTTCACTACTAAATCAAAACAATCAGCTGTGCTCGCGATCTAAAACATCCAGGAAACGTTCTGGAAGCAGAATGCGGCGCCACCATGCCAGCTCCACTCCACAGTTCCCCCCACCAGTAGGGTGCGGACAGGCAACTCTGAAGTTGCAAGTGAGATATTCCGGCCACAAAGGGCGGTGGGGTCTGAGTGACCTTTCATTAACCCTGTAAAGAATCATTTTAGCACATACTGGCTCAAGAAAATGATTTAAAAATATGAAAAATTTGTAGAGAATCCCTTTAAACACCAAGCAGCGACTGTTGTAAACATGCAAACATGGAAAGATGAACAATTTTCTCAAGAGTGAGCAAGTTTTTTTTATTACAACACATTTGTCAATCAATCAATCAGATTTTATTTATTAAGCGCTTTTCAAGCAAAGTGCGACTCAAAGTTCTTTACAGAATTAAAATGACCCCAAATTCCTTTAACAGTTTCAAAACATTAACACACACACACACACACACACACACACACACACACACACACACACACACACACACACACACACACACACAATTTATATTTGGCTGAGTCCAGATGAGCCAACTAAGGTAAGGCAAGGAAACGCCATCAGAGGAGCCGTCTGCCCCGGCAGCATCATGTCTTCCACAGCAACTAAGTCAGGGCACTCAGAGGAGGAAGAGCGTAGACCCCCACCTCCACTCAAACGCTACCTGTAGAGTGCCCAGGCAGCAACAGTTGACCACCGCCCCTGGGGCAGAGGGCCCCTACAGGGAAAACACTGGATTAAAATGCGTACAAATATGAAAATAAAAGCGCTAATATAAATGACAAAAGTAAGAAAATAAATAATAGATAAAATCATATTGACAGTAAAATAATAATATTATTAAATAATGAAACAATGCTAAAATATAATCATATAAAACATGCAAAGCAAGCAATAAAATATAATATAAAACGGGAAATAAATTTATAATAAATAATTAGATAAAAGCTAACCTAAATAGGTGGGTCTTAAGCCTGGACTTAAAAACATGAACATTCTCTGCGGCTCTGAGGTCCTCTGGCAGCTCGTTCCAGAGGCGAAGGCCGTAATACTGGAGGGACGCCTCGCCGTGAGTGTGTGTCCCGACTTTAGGGATAACCAGGAGACGCCTGCCAGAGGAGCGCAGAGGCTGTGACGGTTCATATGGTTTGTTTCAACAACTTCAATGGAAAATTGCACTAACTTGACATTTAGGACACACAATTTTTTGTTCTTTTTTTCTTCAGACATATTCAGCCACTCTTGGTGCCATGGTTGCACGGCTACCCACCTGGACATGTCACACATCTGCAGTGACCCACACTTCCCTCTGTTTGTGTTAAACTGAGTTTCTGCCTAAAATTACTTTGTCCAGCCTTGGGCCCCTGGCAGGACAGTAGTGCAGGACTGTGACTGTAAAAAGTGACTCCGTAATTAAAGTTGAACATTGAACTATTTTGTCACACTACGCTAAAATATTAAATGTCTTTTTAAGCTCAAACAGAGGCTCTTTGTTTTCAACTTTTATGAAGACAAAAGGAGGTTTTTTTTGTTATTTTGACCTATGTATTTGTTATTAAGGTCTTCCGATCACCTGTTTTATATTCAACTGTTTGTGTTCAGTTGGATAGTGAATATTTTGAAAGTTGATTGTATATGTATTTTTACACAGTGAAACTTTTGTTTTTGCAAATTTTAGGCATAAAAAATTGCTTGAAGTTGTGTTTTTTTTCTTCTTTATTTTTGTCCCTAACAGCAAGTGACCTGGGGAGATATATCAGTTTAATTACAGCTTATTTCAAAATCTGTATGAAGTTTGTTTACTTCTGTAAAAAAACAACAACAACAAAACAAGAAAACTTGGTCAAATTTTATAGAACATAGTCCCAAAAAGCCAAGGTTTGGTGTAGATGAATATTTTAAAAGTCAAACATGGTTCAAAATAAAACTAACGCTACATAAACCTACACATACACATCTTTAATTGTTTATTCAGACAATATATATATATATATATATATATATATATATATATATATATATATACATATTGTTATCCACGCCTTTGTCTCCTCATACTTAGACAACTGCAACTTGCATTTCACTTGTCTGAGCAGAACCATCTACAGGTGGTTCAGAATGCCTGTGCTCAGCTTCTGACCAAGTCCTCCAAACACACCCCGCTTCTCCAGCTTCACTGGCTGCCATTCAACTTCAGGGCTAATTCCTAGATCCTGGTTCTGGTCTATAGGGCCTTACATGGACAAGCGCCATCATACATTGCTGATCTTCTCAGTCCCTACACCCCCAGCAGGTCCCTGAGGTCCAGTGACCAAAGCCTACTGGTTGTGCAGCACCAGGCTAAAGACCAAAGGTGACAGATCATCTGCTGCTGTAGTCCCCAGACTCTGGAACTCTCTCCCCCTGAGCCTGAGATCAGTGGACTCAGTGGTCTCCTTTAAAAAGCTGCTGAAATCTCACCTGTTCAAGCTGGCTTTGGTGTGACCTTTGATTGATTCCTCATCTCTACCTTGTCTTCATTCACCTCTTCATGCCAATACTGCTTTACCCGGCATTCACTGATGATTACCTTATTTTATTTTAATTTTCTTTTCCCCTTTCCTCACATTTTTAATCACAATTTATTACTTTTCTCAAATTTATATTTTCAAAAAAATTTGCAATCGTTTTCATTTTTTTATTTTTGTTCTTGTGAAGGACCTCTTTGATTTTATCTTGAGAGGCTCTACACCAAAGCTTGTTTCTTCTTCCACATTTATGAAAAAAAACAGTTGACCTTGGACTTCTATGAGTTTTAAACGTGATTATTAATGATTTATAAATTGAAAAAAAGAGGGAAAAAACACAAAATGTTTTCAGCAGGTCAGTGGGATTCTATTTCACAAAGATACATTTGCAAGCAAATTTGCCATCAGGTATGAGATTCTTTTTCTCTGCAACCTTTTTAATAAGTAATTGGCTTAAAAAGAAATTAAAGCTTGCATCTAAATATTATTGTCAAAGCGATGAAGCTTTCTGTCTCCATCATATCTCCATGTGCCCTTTGCTCCTGCTGTAGTTATAAAGTAACTTCAGCATGAGCTCATGCACATTTTACTAAATTCCCGTGTAACCAACACAATGGCTAACACACTTAATCCTGTTTTTATTGGATTATTCATGTTGATCTCAGCAAATTTGACTTTTTGCATTTCAGGTGAGAATCTCATTAATTTTCTTGTGCTGTTCAGTATCAGGATAAACTATTTTGTTGCTTTTAGATGAGAGGATATTAAAGAAAATGCTAAGACAGCCGAGGCCTCTACACACATTTGTGTGGTCGATCCTTGTGTGGATAAATTGACTTTCCAAGGAAAAAAAAAGCTGACATTTTTCCTTTACCCCTGTAATTCCCATTAACATGCTATTATCCACTTCTGGATTATTTACCTTCAAAAACACACTATCAGGTCTCTTCTGGTTGCTACCATCTTCACATGTTTATGTCTTGGTTGTAGAAGAGGAGCTCCATGCTAGCTACTGGAACAACAAAGGGAAGCAGGCTCTTCACACTGCCCTGAATAATCAGCCTAATGTGCGCCGAGCCAAGAACCTCATCCTTTTCCTGGGGGATGGTGAGTCTTTCCTACCATCAAAGAGATTTTCAAATGTCGAGGATCTCTCTCCTAACTTCAGTTCATGTAGTTATAAAGAAGCCAGCTGGCCTTGAAAGTGGAAATCTTGAACAAAATGATTCCAACAATTATGTGTACATGGGAAAGTGAAGCCTTACAAAGTGAAAAGAGGTTAAACAATAGTTTGGATTTAATGCAAAACATTTTTTCAAACATTTTGACATTCCTGGGTAAGAGTTATGAATAAGTACAATCGTATCAAAGATAGCGTCCGCTCTGGTTTTCAAGTCTTTTTAAAAGGTGTGGAACACTGCAAATCCATTTTTAATGATTATTTCTGATTACAATGGGTCACTCAGAGTTTTTCATGCAGGCTGAACATGAAAATAGTCTCCTACACCTATCTCCTGCATTAGCTTTTGAAACGCTAGGTTTTAAAAATCCGACAGGACCAGACTTGACTCCAGGATACAACATGCAATGTCAAATTAATGATTTCTAAAACAATATTACATGAAGGATTGGGAGATCCTCAGCGCATAATCCAGTCACCAGTTGGTGCTCCACAGCAAAGAACAATGACGTAAAAAAAAAGCAAAAAGAAAACTGGAGAACTCAAAGTGACAGCATGTTTAATAGGTGCAAGCACAAATAAGGATCAGCGTTTCGACACCCACTTGTGTCTTCGACAGAGTCAATATTAACAGTACATGAACTTTTGTGACACTTTGGACACTGGAGCAGTTTTCGGACAACAGGAACACTCTGGGTCTTAGATGTGCCTGTACTGTAAAACCAAAAACCAAAAATATGAAACAGACACTGTTCAAGAAAGTAGGAGGTAAGAGATTTATTTGAAACACTGACACACTTCAAAAGACCCCCAAAATGTATTTTACGGATAGAAAAACCCAAGTACAGCAGTTCACAAAAATTATTTGAAGCATTCTAAATATTGATTAAGTCACACTAAATAAAGTGTATTTTTCTAAAACAAAACACTTCCCCACCAATCTCATTTAAACAAAAATAACCAACGTTTTCTTATCCCAGTTAAACATGCTAAAGGTCAGCCTCAGCCTTTGCTTATTGCCTTCGACATTTCTGATGATATATTCTCAGTGGCGTGTCCAGATCTTTTAAAATGGGGTGGCCCAGATGAGGCACTACTTTGTGCATGGGTGGCTCCAATGGTTATGCATTTATTTTATTTTTATTTATTTTTACCCCAAGCCTTTTGTGGACAATGCAATGCCTATTTAAAGGGAATTCAGTGTGGTGGCACCTGGGGTGGCCAATCAGATTCCAAGGGTGGCATTTGCTACCCCAGGCCACTCCCTGGACACGCCCCTGTATATTCTGTGCAAATGAGGATCCTCCTTTGGCCAGTGATGTCAACAAACGACAGATTCGCAGCAGGATTATGGAGTCATCCACTCCCATCTGAAAACACGCTGAAGACAGCACGCTGAAGTCTTTATCAGTGTCTAAGATTGATCAGTAACATTAATTACCCTGTTATTGGCTTGTTTACAGCAACAAATCACAAAGTTCTTTTTGGGAATGACCCGGTGGCAATGTTATGACAAGGAAATTACATATATCAGTTACTTGTTATCACATTTCCAACTGTATGAAAGAGTAATCTCTTGGCAGACGTGATTAATACTGCACAAACCTGTTTTTAATGGTTGTGTCTTTGTCAGAAAAGGTAGTTAAAATACATTATTTCCAATATTTGTGATTGCTAACAACTCAGATTTCTTTTACTGCCATCAAACTAGTCTTGACTTTCACAATCATGTATATTTTCTGTCCATCTTGTGGCAGGTATGGGTGTTCCGACGGTGACTGCTGCTAGGATCCTGAAAGGTCAACTGGCAGGAAAATCTGGAGAGGAAAGCAGTTTGGTTATGGATACTTTCCCTTACCTGGCTCTATCAAAGGTCAGCTTACTCTGACTCCACATACAGGCTGCTTGTTTTAACAAAAACTATTTAATTATGATGAAAACCAATTATATAAAGGAAAACAACAACCTGTTCTTTTTTGTTTATTTGAACTAAACTGAGTCAGAAAAGGGTAGAATGCCTTCTCCAGGTCAGTGATGATGTCCTGTCCCAAGTGAAGGACTCTAAGTATCTCAGGGTCTTGTTCACAAGTGAGAGAAAAATGGAGCAAGAGATCTGTAGGTGGAATGGTGCTGCATCAGCAGTGATGCGGGCGTTGTACCAGCGTGTCGTGGTGAAGAGAGAGCTGAGCTGAAAGTCAAAGCTCTCAGTTTACCAGTCGATCTACAGTCCTTCCCTAACCTATGGCCTTGAGCTTTGGGTAGTGACTGAATCATGGATTCAAGCAGTCGAAATGAGTTTTCTCTGCAGGGTGGCCGGGCTCTTCCTTTAGAGTCAGGGTGAGAAGCTCGGTCATCTGGCAAGGGTTCGGAGTAGACCCGCTACTCCTCCACATTGAGAGGAGCCAGTTGAGGTGGCTTGGGCATCTTAGGATGTCTCCTGGACGCCTCCCTGGTGAGGTTTTCCGAGAATGTCCAACCGGGAGGAGACCTATAGGAAGACCCATGACACGTTGGAGGGACTATGTCTCTCAGCTGGCCAGGGAATGCCTTGGGATTCCCCCAGAGGAGCTGGCCCAAGTGGCTGTGGAGAGGGAAGTCTGGGCCTCTCTGCTTAGGCTGCTGCCCCTGCGACCTCAGATAAGCGGATGAAAATTGACAAATGGATAAACTAAACCTGAGTCTCAGGTTGGGGCGACAGTGGCACAGGAATAAAGTGCTCGCCCTGTAATTTGAAGGCTGCAGGTTCGAGCCTCGCTCAGTTAGTCGCTGTTGTTGTGTCTTTGGGCAACACAATTAACCCCTCTTGCCTGCTGGTGGTGGTCAGAGGGACAGGTGGTGCCGGTGCTCGGCAGCCTCACCTCCGTCAGTGCGCCCCCGGGAAGCTGTGGCTACACTTAGCTCATCTCCACCAGCGTGAGAATGTGTGTGTAAATGGGTGAATGACTGATTGTGTTGTAAAGCACCTTGGGGGGTTCCAGGCCATAAGTTTGATGCAGGCGTACAGTGTAATTCTTGAATGCTGCCAAACACTTGTGACAAGTTGATGCAACTGTATCTGACATGTTGGTCCCTGCAGACGTACAACGTGGACCAGCAGATGCCCGACAGTGCTGGCACTGCAACAGCGTATTTATGTGGTGTGAAAGCCAACTACGGCACCATTGGTGTCACTGCTTCCACTCCACGGAAGAACTGTAAAGCTGCTCATGGTAATGAGGTGGAATCTGTTCTGCACCGTGCCAAAAAATCAGGTAGGTGCCCCGATAAACAAAGCAAGTACAGACAGTTTCACACACCATTTTCTCCAGAAATGTTTTATAAGAGCTCTTGATCATGTTCTATGTTTAGAATCTGACAAATGTCGTATTTTTCTAAGGAAAGTCCGTTGGTATTGTCACAACGACTAGAGTGCAGCATGCCTCCCCATCGGCAAACTATGCTCATTCTGCTGACAGAGAATGGTACTCTGATGCTGATCTCACCACCGAAGCTGTCAAAAATGGCTGCCGTGACATCGCCTATCAGCTGGTTCACAACACAGAGATTGATGTACGCATCTATAAATTTATCTAATACTTCTATTGCATGGCCTCTTATGGTCAATTAAAGTAAATAAACATTTTCAAAGTTGAGGAAGTAGATACAGGTATAAAAGGGAAATCACAAAAATGAGATGAGTAAGAAAAAAAAGCTTTTGTCATTTTATTCACTGCAGGTCATTCTTGGTGGAGGTCGTCGGTACATGCTTCCCAGAACAGCTTCAGACCCAGAGTACCCAGCTGAGAAAGGCGATCGAAAGGATGGAAAAGACCTTATTGTAGAGTGGGCAAAAATGAAAACGGGGAAGGTCATTTACGTTTGTTGTTTACATCAAGGTTATTATTCATACATAAACGTATTGTGCTTTAGCGCGTATTAAAAATTATTTTTGCGTATTTGTTCATTACTGTTAACACACTACAGGTCGCAAAATATGTCTGGAACAAGACTGATTTTGATGCTGTTGATCCTCGACACACAGACTTCCTGTTGGGTAAGAACCGTTCTCACATCACCGCGTACTCATGACGGTAATAAGGGCCAACTCTTTAAACTGTGATTACATTTGTGATCACGCAAAGTACAATTTTCACTGAATAGATGTTTTAATGAAATTGCTTCATTAATCAAGTTACTCTTGAACTAAAATGTATTTTATTAGTATGTATCTAGTATGTAGTAGTATGTAGAGACGAAACTAAAGCAAACCGATTTTGCATTTAGGTCTGTTTGAACCCAAAGACTGCCGCTATGAGCTGGAAAGAGATCCGGTCATGGACCCTTCTCTTACAGAAATGACGGAAAAGGCAATTAAGATTCTCAGCAAGAATCCTAAAGGATTTTTTCTGTTTGTGGAAGATAAGTATATTTCATATAAATTCAATTCAGTTTATTTATATAGCGTCAAACTACGCCAAGAGTCGTCTCAAGGCACTTCACAAAATGCAGCTCAGTTCATTAAGGCAATCAGTAAAAAGTTTCAGCAGATTGCAATTTACAGCAGTCCTCATACTAAGCAAGCATGTCAACAGTGGGGAGGAAAACTCCCTTTTAACAGGAAGAAACCTCCAGAGGATCCTGGCTCAGTATAAAGCCTAATTTATACGTCTCCGTCTGCGTTGGGATGGACACACGCAACGCCCTTATGCGTTGAAGCAAGAGCCCTCTGACGGGTTTTGCAGAGGAAAACAGAGACATGCTCCAAATTTTAACTAAAAGAGACTGAGTTCGCAAGCTTGTGATTGGTCAGGATGCTGCTTCCTGTTTTCATTCGTCAACAGCACCGTCTTTGCCGCTTCAAAAATAAAGAGATATTTAGCGGCAGACACGTAACAGATGAAGAATGCATCACGGAAAAAGTCTGAAAATATGAACGTTCATTCACCCGCGACTGGAGTACAAAGTTATGCAGCAAGCCTTTTATTTGTGAACAGAAAAGACAAGAAACGTGAGTTTAGAGGTGCAGATCGCATAAAGAGGTGTGTGTGTGTGTGTGTGTGGGGGGGACGACATATTTGTCAGTGTTTAAAAGTCTCTGAAATATATTAAAACAATGTAAACTCAATAGTAAATACACTATTGTTGCCCGGATATGTGACTGTAATGGTGACAGGATACCTCAGAATAGCGCTCTGGCCTCTGTTTTCCTGGCAGGGAATTGTTTTGCGACAATCCCCATCTGACGGAGAAGCCTGAGAGCAAAACGTCTCTGTCAATGCGTGTGTCTCTCCCTCGCGGAGCTGACGGAGAAGTATAAATTAGGCCATCCGCCACGACTCACTGGGGATGGAGAGGACAGAGCAGACACACCACGCCCCAACCCCCCCCCCACCCCCACCCCCACCCCCCACCCCCACCACCACCACCACCACACACACACACACACACACACACACACACACACACACACACACACACACACACAAACACACACAAACACACACACACACACACACAACATGTACTGTATTCCAAGTACTTTTTCAATGGCTAAATTGTGATTTCTAAGCAGACATTTTATTAAGTAACAAATTAACTTTATTAATCTTCATTTGGCTGAATCTATAATTAATTCAACAGATAAACTAGTACTAGCACATTCTATGATAAAGACAGTAAAATGTTATCTCTATGCATATCATTCATTACATATACTGCTTTTAAATATATTGTGAAAATGTGATCAAATACAACATGGCCCAGGGGTGAGATCATTTAGGTTGCGTTGGGTCTTTTATCACTTTTGCTTGATTCGTCAATTTGTAGTACACTACAAAATAATTATAATTCACTCAGAAGTGAGTTAGATTTTAAATAGTAAATTTTCTTGTTTTTGTTCATTTTAAGGGGGAGAATTGACCATGGTCACCATGATGGGAAGGCCAAAAAAGCGCTCCATGAAGCTGTGGAGTTTGACCGTGCAATTGGACGAGCAGCTGAACTCACCAGTGAACTAGACACCCTGACAGTAGCTACTGCCGACCACTCCCATGTCTTTGCTTTTGGGGGACATTCTGCCAGAGGAAACTCTGTTTTTGGTAAAATGCATTTTTTTTTTTTAGAAAATTACCGTGAAGAAAACATGTGAAACAAATGTTAGGATGTGTACATAATTTTTGTGGAAACCAATTTGTGCTGTTATTCACAGGGGTGTCACGCGGTAAAGCTGATGACAAAAAGCACTTCACCACTGCTGTGTATGGGAATGGACCAGGATATCAGATCATCAACGGGACTCGGCCTGATGTGAATGAGACCATTTCATGTAAGTGAACCAGGACACAGATCTTTTGTGTAACAGCTCCCTTCCAATGGCCCAATGGGATACAATTTGCACATGCACGAAAGAAAAGCTTTCAAACAGGATTTAGACAATAAAGGAACTCATACGTGATCATTGTTATGACCAAACATTTTGGGTATACAGCCAAGTCACCATGTGAAATTTTCAAGTCAATAACAAATCATGTGCTTTTACTCTCCTTTTCAGCAGTTAATGATCCACAAATCTCTAGTAAATCTAACTCTGTCCCACTTTTCCACCAGCAACAAAGGACTACCGACAACAGGCTCCTGTCCCGATCGACTCAGAGACCCATGGAATAGAGGATGTGGCAATCTTCGCCAAAGGGCCGATGTCTCACCTCTTCCACGGGGTTCAGGAACAGAGCTACATTGCACATGCCATGGCTTTTGCTGCCTGTGTCGAACCTTATGAAAGCTGCAATCTCAGTGACCATGCCGGGGCATTTTACCCCAGTCTCCTTCTTCTTCTAACAGGCGTTTTCATGACCCTCTCTGCCTAAGATTGTTGGCCAAGTTATGAAATAGCTTATTTTGTCTTTGTTTTTAAATTATAATATTGAAGCATGAAAGTGTTGTGTGTGTGTGTGCTCTGTTCAGTCATTTGTATGTGTTCAAACAGCACTGTGGTAAAAAAAAAGATTTGCTTTTATAATGACCCAATTTAAACACTCTAGTAAACTTAGAATTTCAAAATAGAAATTATTGAAATATAGACATTTATATAAATATGTTAAACTCTGCTATCCCTGATGGATTAGTGATGTGTTCCTCATTATGCTGTCAGTATGTTAGAAGCTGAGACAAGCTCATGCCTCCAGAGAATAAACGTAGAGAAAATGAAAGAATGAGTGGGTTGTGAACAGATGTGTGGTTTTTCATTGCTGATTTATGAGACCTATATTTGACCCAGTTGTGGGAATAATCCAAAAGCTGAAGAGCAATTTTTTTCTATATTCTTTGAAGTCTCTCAGATTGTCTTTCTTCTTTTTGTCATTTATAAAGGCTGTTGGGAGATCGTAGTCCCAATTTTTAGCATTTCATGTCTAGTTTGAATCAATATTGCATCTTTATTCCAGGAATTGTGTCACTTAAAAAATGTATTTAAAATACTTATGATATGGCAGAAGAATTATTGTTATTTTATTAGAAATAATTTTTATTATTGTGACCTAAAGGGGGGGTATTTCATCCTGAAGCCCATAAGTAAACTTGCAAAGAATGACAGAGTCGTGTCGAACAGATTTAACAACAGATTTATTAATTCAGCAATTAATGAGATGAGAAACACATAAAAGGTCCTCTCATGAGGTGAAAACAGTTAGGACGTATGTTTACTGGAAACCAGTGGATAAAACAGTAATACAATTCCTCAGCACTGGTCCCTTGAAGCTATTTATCATCACAGGAACAGCATCTCTTCCAAACAAAAATAAATGACGGAACCAATACCAAATATTTCAGTTAGTGCAGCTGCACCTAAACACAACCTAATCCAAATTCTTCTCAAGCCGAGCCCCTTTAGCTCTCGCATCGTCACATTCCAGTTGAAAGTTACTAATCTTGGGCATGAATCCAGTGTTTTCCTCCTCTGACAGCATAGAAATCTAGACAGAGAGTAGCCAAAGTAAAATGATTTTTCTCTGCATGCCGTCCTAGCCACGCACCTATCAGCGAATGGAACAGGCGGGACAAGACAAGAAAAGAACCAATCAGAGTTCGGAGCCGGCCACTGTTTGAACAAGCTACCGCTAACCAGACACCAAATAATGATATTAATGCAGATAAAAGTTATATCTAAAGGGAGAAAATGTCCACGACTTGGAGTAAAAGCAATAGATGTGATGATCTGAAAAGTATTTGCTTGGTGAATATCCGGGGTATTCCCTTGTTGTAAAAGTGTACGGTGTTTGTAGTGAACGGGTCGGTAGATGGGGTGCTGGACCTCAGCAAGCTGAATTGAACCATGAAGCAGCGCGCCGCGCATCTGGTATTTTTGTGTCGCTGTTACGGCCGTTATGATCAACTTTTGGTGTTAAACTCTGATAGTCATAATCACACAGTGGTGAAATTCATCTCCGCATTTGACCCATCCCCATGGAGGAGAGCACTGAGCTGTGCTCACCGGGTGGGAAGTTCTAGGTGAAGCATTAGGGTGTCCCACTTTGATCAATCAGTCTAATAAAAACTCTAATAAATACACCAGAAAATGATTCGTACCTTTAGTTTACCTCTGCATTGCTAGAATAATTAATTTTAACGTTTTCATGGTATGATGTCATTTCCTGTCATGTTTATAAATATTATACATTATACAGATTTGTTTATTTAAGTTATTTTTGAGAGGCACAGTTTTAAACTGTCAGTGTTCATTTTGGTATTGTCGAACAGTGATTGTTATTAGGGATGTGTACTGGTGAAATAATGGCGATATGATATGTATCACCATACAGGGGAGCCGGTTATGTCACGATATATTGTGATACATTCAGTCAGACAATATTAGCAATTTTTTATACTGAATTTATTGTAGGAAAATTCAATGAACAGTCCAAAATGATACTTAACATGTTTAAAATGATGTATCTGAACCATAACAGAGGTATTTATATTACAATGGTGGATACAAAATTCAATGCACACTGCTGCCAACTAGAGGTCAGCATTTGAATTGCACAAAAAGGAAAGAAAATACACAAATGTTTGCATGTAAATTCTTCCAAAAATTAGATACACGGCTTTTGAATATCAATATAATATTGCAGGAAAAAAAATCACGATTTATTGTGATATCGACATTTTTGATACATGACTTTTGAAAATCTATATAATATTGCTGGAAAAAATATCACAATATATTGCTATATCAATATTTTCTCACATCCTTAATTGTTATTATATGAATTATAAATAAAAAGTTTTATTGATCCAATGTGTGAAATGTGAATCATACATATTTATTTACAGTTTCAGGTGTAGTTATATTTTCCTTTATACAAGTTGAAGATAATTACATCAAAAGAAAAATACATATATTTTTGTCAACTAAAATATCTTTCTATTTGTCGACTAACAGATAGAGATACTTAAGTTCTTTATTTAGAAAAAGGATCTGTTTGCGTCTCTGTCAACAGTGTATGGCGGACCGTCTCATTGACTGACATCCATAGTGGTGAGTATGTCATGTGGAGACAGTTTGAAAGACCACCACAGATTCTACCCGACAACCAAGCTCTGTCTATAGGTCATGGCCAGACTATATATTCGCATATATAAGTAACATATATAAGATAACTCACCATGCTTCTTCTGACACACAAGCAAAAACACTTTTGTGACAGTCCTTAAGTTGTATCACCAACTTCCTGTGCAGTTCCATGTGGTTCACTTTACAGATCCATTCATGTCACCTTTAGCAAGTCTCTGCTTGCCTCTTTCTGGACTAGTACCTCTTGATGTTGCTCACTTTGATGAGCTGTGGCTGAAGATAGATGGAACAAAGCCAGGATGAGGTCCTTATTTGGTTTTCTTACAAAGTAGCCTTCAAAAATAAATGACTGTATGAAGTAAAAACGTATACTCATGTATAAGTTTAGGTAAATGCAGGTATGTGTAATTTGTATAGTTGAATGGTGTGAGCAAGTCTATTGTGTGAGTGGATTGTGCATGGGGGAGAGATATAGGAGTGTGTGCGCGCATGCGTTGGTGCATGTGTGAGTAGTTGTAGATGAGGCCTCGTGAAACACACTTCACCCAAACTGAATTGACGGATTTTTTCCATTTAGGATGTCACCAAGCAGAACAAGTTTGTATTGATTTGCAGTGAATCGTCCCAAACTAATAAAATGCATATTAACAGCGTTTCTGAGCCACCTGATCCTCTCACTCCAGAGGTCAAGAGTTCATTTATTTTCCTCTCCATGTTACCTTTCTTGTGTCTGTGGTCGGTTAATTAAATGATTATTGATCTGCACTTGTAAAGCACCTTCCAAAGTCAGAGGGCTCCAATGCGATTTACACTACAGCGAATCATTCATCCATTCACATGCTGGTGGTAATGAGCTACAATATAGCCACAGCTGCCCTTTGGATATGCTGACGGAGATGAGGCTGCAGTAAAAATGTGAAATTTTCATTGGTTGTCAATAATCATCAAATATAAAATAAACATTTGAAATATCAGTCTGTGTATAATTAATTAATCTTGTTTACAAGTTTCACTTTTTGAATGGAATAACTGAAATAAATCAACTTTGTCATGACACATAATTTTATGATCAGCACCTATGGGTCATTTTTGCTTCAACTGATCAGACTTTAATCAGTGGGTAACCAACTTCTGCAGAACTAGAATAGAATAGAATGGAATAGAATATACTTTATTGACCCACAGAGGGGAATTTCACTTCCAATGACATGCCAAACATTTAACTATTGAATCGCTGAAAAAAGGGAAACAACTTGTATTTTATTCTCAAATAAATTATGTATTTGATTTGATATTTAAGTGAATAATAAAACCTAAAGTATATTATAGGAAAACAAAAAAGTGTTTTCTAAATTGACCCGGATGTCTCTGACTGTCATCATGTAAACACAGAGGAACATGACTGATCTGGGTCGTTCGGAGCTCAAGCACCGCCAGTGTTGCTCACAATAACAACCTAACCTCTTTTTTTTTAATCCTTCTGTCAAACAGTCAGACATACAAATATGGTAAATAATAATAAAAAAAGATGGAACCTAACCTCTTCAGATTTGAAAACTCGAGTGGAGATGACGCGGCAGAGCGGGGCGGACTATGCTGTCACTGTGTTGGTCTACTGACACCTGCTGGATCTTGAATAACATTGCAGGCAACCTAACTGGGAGACATAACCACTGATTCAACCAGCTATAAAATTAATTAATTTTATTTCATATTGTACAGTGCATAATTTAATACACTGATCCAAGTTTTCACACGTTAACACGGGTCGTTGGCAGCAAATTTAAACCAGAAGTTTCGGATGGAAAGTCTCGCCTGATTGGTTGATAATCGTCCAATCATAGCCGCCTCTGGGCGGGTCTTCCGCTTGTTTCCCTTGGAGGGAAGTTCGACCAAAATAGCTTGTCAAGAACCGTGAATAAACTTTAAATTTGATATTATTTATAGATTTCAACCTTCATTGAACATTTCAGATGTTGAATATTAGTTTTCACACGCGGCTAACTGTTTAGAAAAAGTTTAGCAATAGTGCGTAAGCGATGGAAAGTCGCTTACGTAGTATAGCTCCTTTAGCTGACCTCAACTTTTCTCCGATCGATTGTTGGCCATAAACTGAGCTAGACGATGTAGCTGCCGGGTGGTAGATTAGATTAATAGATTAAGAGACTAGTAAGTGACCATGGATCGCAACAAGAGGAGGCTGGCAAGTCAGTTGTGTGCCGCGGTGAACGGCGGAGATCCCAGGTAGAGATCGAGCCCGTTTCTCTTTGTTTGGTCCAGACATGTCCTGTAGAAACAGAAGAGACGACCACGCGATGAGTTTTTACGTTTGCTTCTGAAACCAGATTATCCGGTTACTTGTTTATCTTTGGTAAATTTTAAGTATTATAAAATGTAGTAATTCGAACATTTCAGTCATAAATTAAATTGATCTGTCCTCTTGTTCGTCGTGTTTCCTGTTTATGGGTATACTTTAAACCCACAAAAGCGTGCTTATTATATCTCGTTTTCATGTAATATTCAGCACGTGAAACTAGTCTAAAAGTATTTTGTGGTAAAATAATTCCCAGTGTGAGCCAGATTGAAAAGCTCGTGTTGTTTCAGAGAACCAGTGAGACTCAGTGATTTTATATGAGTGGCATCTGTTTATAAATCTGTGCAAAGAATGCAGAAGAGTTATAACTTTGTTTCTGTCTGTGTCATGAGAACAAAGACAGGTGTAATAGCGGTCTGTGTTATTCAGGTTAAAAAGCTTCTCCAATGTTTACAAACACGTGCCTGTGGTACTCTTGAGTATTTCTATGAAAAATCAAAATACTCAGATGATGTGTCAGTGTAGTCTGACTGACATATTTTAATTATACACTCGGTTACAGAAGATCGGAACTGCCTACTGTAAAAGTAATGCATCTCCATTTTTGTGCAGATCTGTGCAGAACCTTCTTTCAAAAGGTGCCAGCCCTGACCTGGTGGGAAGTAAAGGTGTTGCTGCAATACACTTAGCTGTTGGAAAAGAAACAGAGAAGAATATACGATGCTTGAAAATGCTGCTGCAACATGGAGCAGATCCCAATGTCAGGTATATTAACAAGCACATACAAACCTTTTTATGCGATTCATTTTTCTGTAGCAATAAATAGTTAACACAGTTCATGTTTTTATTTCAGGTCATCTGAAGGCCTGACTCCACTTCATGTCGCTGCACTTTGGGGATGTTATCAAAATCTGAAGCTGCTGCTAATAAATGGAGGGGATCCTAATATTAAAGATAATGTACGGTTGTATTTTACGTTTCCCTCCTTAAACAATGTGTTCTTACGTCCCACGTAACCGCAGAACTTTTCATGTGTCATTAATTCGGAATAATTCTTGTGTGTTTGTTCTTTAAGTTATAGCCCTCACATAAGTCAAGATCACAGATGATGCAAGCATTATTTTTACTCTCGCTGCATCTGTTTGCTTATGCAGGAGGGGAGCACACCCGGGGAGTTAGCAGAGCAGCAGGAAAATCGAAAATGTGCCCATCTCCTTGAGGAATACCTGAGCAGCTCAGATGGCATTGAAGAGGCAGGCATGCCTCGGTTTCAATACTGTGAGAAAATTTCCTTGAAATGTTTTTTTGTCCATGTCAGATAAACAAAACACACATTTCCCAACAGAAGACTTAATTACATAAAAGTCCCAGGTCTCACAAGTTATAGCTACATATTTATGCACTTCAGAGGTCCCGTTTATCACTATTCCTGTTTGTTATGTCCACAGCTGTGTACTCTGACCAGACGGATGTGTCCAGCTATCCGGAATCTAACTGCAGCTTTAGCGACTTTGGTGAAGCTCCAATGAGCAGCACAAGGCTGTCATTGCTCTCCAACCTTTCAAGCATTAGCAGAATATCAAATTACAAAGGCTCATCATTTAACAGCTCGACTGATGCTTCCATGCTTTGCAGCACTCGTCTCTCTGCAGTTGCCAAGCCACTTCCCAATGAAACACTTTCGTGCAGAGAAGGGATTTTTCCAACAAAAGCAAATGAATCAACAGCTAATGGCACGGTTTTTCCTCCTGAGCTTCCCTCTGGGCGAGTGAGGCAGAAGAGTGTGAGCTTCAGAAACATAGATGATATTTTCCCTGTTTTCAGTCCTGAACAGAAACAGAAGATCACCGGCGAAGACAGCACTTTGCCCTTTAACTTGTCTGAGTACTCTGACTTTCTAGATTCAGAGCGCCTGGTCACTGTTCTACCCAAACAAGGCCTTGATGTCACATCACCAGATCACGCCTATGTCTTCTGCAGGGGAAGCAGCGAGAACACGGCGGATAACTTGGACAAGACTGTTGTTAGCCACTGTGCTTCTGATGGAAGCGATGGTGAACTGGAAGGGCAAAATGACAAAGAGCATCAAGTGAATGCAGATGAACAACCAGCACTTTCCCAGGCTGCCAGCAGCAGTGGGACCGGAAGTAGTGATTATAGCAGCTGTGAGAGCGACCATTATGCCAGCTGCCTGGAGGCCACAGTGCACTCTGGGCGTCTTCTGTTTCCTGTTGTAGGGGAGGATTCTGCTGGGGCAGAATCTGACAGAAGAACTAACCAAGTTCTGGAATCTAGTAATGATTTCCCTGAAGAAGCCAAGGTGGATTCAAAATCTGAAACTGTTGAGCCTTTATCTAGGTCGCTTAATAACCTGAACTTGTCTGAGGAAAAACACGCAAAGAACGGTCAGTTTGATTGTAGCAGTGGTTCCGTCACATGTAAGGAAGAGACCCTCGAACCGGAAGCCGATGTCAGATCTGAATCGGAAGAAAACGCTGAACTTTCTTTTACGCCCGGCTCTTTTGTGACCGGCAGGACGCGCTCTAGATTAAGTCGTTGCTCGACGAGAGAGGGCAGAACCCCTGAGAGCGTGTTTGCCACGTCTTCTTTGTTCGAGGACACCCTTCCAACACCGGTGCGTACACTTCGTCACACGCCCAGGTCTCAGAGCAGCGGACACTGTCACAGCTCACGTCACACACCGAGTTATGGATCAGAGCACTTAGGAGGAAGTAGAGGAGGAGCCTATCTGCCCTCAGAGAGCCAAGACTCACAGTCCAGCACATGTGGATCAAGTAGTAGCCAACTCGACACACTCATCCTGCCCAAGAACGTACCTGGTTCTGTCGAGGAGTCACAGACTTTGAATGACACGATTATACTGGAAAAGAACCCGGATTATTCAGTTGATGCTTATGAAAAAAATCTTGCTGAGATCATTCTTGCAATGCGAGGACAGGACAAAGGGCTTTCTGGGGATGGGGAGTTTCTGACTGATGATCTGACTAGTGCGGACGATGCAGCTGCAAATGAAAATGTTGCTTCTGCTAAAGAACATACAAGTGACCTCATTAACGAAGATCTCTGGATGTCTGAGAGGAGCACCTCTCTGTCAGAATCTGCATCATCTTCATCCTCTTCCAGCTATTTTTCTCCAAGGAGATCCAGAGAGAACTCCGACCCTGCCTGTACTCCAGGAACAGGATGCACCCCGAGGTACAGTATGAGTAAGCTGCTGAGCAACCATCGTCCACAGCGCCCGGCTGACCTGTCATTCACCCCCGGTGGCCGTCCACTCATCCAGGACCTGGACGAACCAGTGGAATACCTTTACACAGACACGGAGCAGGGACACAAACTCATTGAGACACACGTCCCACCAACAGCAGACACCACCAGCAGCGGGGAGGAGACCGTCTTCTACGACTGGGCTTGTTTGCAGGCTGAAATAAAAGGCAGCAGAGAAAAAGAGAACCAACAATCTGAGAGAGTAGCTCAGGAGGAGAAAAATAAAAACCCTGGAGATGGTTTGTTACCAGAAATCAGAGGGATAACTGACAAGGAGCTGAGACTGAGGTTGGTGGAGCTGGGAGAGAGTCCAGGTCCTATTAGCAGCCGAACCAGGCCCACCTACATGAAAAGGCTCCGTCGCCTGCTGCAGGAGTCCAACTTACTCAAGAAGCAGCTGGATCAACCACAAATTGGTGAAATACAGAATAATCACAGTAACATTAAAGCAGTAATCCAGAGTTTAACTCCGAGGACACCATCTAAACACGAAAAAACTTATTGCTCCTTAAAGCGAAACTCCTGATTATTTATTTTATCTGATGGCACCATCTAGTGGCTGATTAACGTATCCCACCAAGCCGCGGTTTTCACAGCCATATTTACAGCTGGAAGCCATGGCTCTCATTGAATACGCACCTCTAGCTGGCTAACACGTGTAGTTTTACAGTTGTTCTCACGTTATGCTGTTCATTCATTATGTTTGTATGTTTAAAAGACTTACTTATCCATAAGACATTTTGCCAACTCTGCATAGGCATGTCCATAAATGCTTGCTCTGTGATTGACGTGTACATGAGTGAACGTTTAAGGCTATTGGCTAATGCTGAGCAGTGCTCAATTCAAATTGCAATAGCTATACGGGATGGGGGATGGGTTTAGTAAAACTAAACAACACTGTACTGATTATTGCCTATCACGGTACAGACCGAGACGATCAGTTTCATGGATTTCTAACGAAGCCCACGCATAATTTCTGAAAGAGAGAAAGCTCAGGATTGCTGCTTTAATGAGAAAAATAGTCTTTAACTGTAATTGTTTGCCAAGTAAATGAACATTTGTTATATTATCAGCTTTAGTTCTCTAGAAAATCTAAATGAGAGACAGGCTCATTGTGAGTAGATTAGCACCAATACTGATGCAGCCTACTCCTTAATCTGCTATTTTTGAATGAAGCTGATTTAGGTTACACTCCAGAGCTGCGTCTGGTCCTTCAGACTTTCCAGCTGCCCGATTCCCACAATGATGAGCAAGTTCTCAGCCAGGAGTTTGACCAGCCGGACCAGAACAGGAAGTGGAGGGAAGGCCTGATCAAGTCTAGCTTTAACTATCTGCTGCTCGACCCCAGGTATTAACGGTTTGTAGGAAACAGAAATGAGAAAAAAAAACTACCAATGTTCTGTAATACAGAAAAATCTTTTTTTTCCCCTTTTACAGAGTAACGAAGAACCTTCCTTTCCGCAGTCACTCCATGAGTCCCCATGAGTGTTTCCAGAGTTTTATTCATGCTATATTTTATGTGGGCAAAGGGAAACGCTCCCGCCCCTACAGTCACCTGTATGAGGCTTTAGAGTACTACACTGGAGACAAGATGGCCAAGGTGAGCCAGTGTTATTATACAATAACTTTAAAGGTTGAATATGGAACAGTTTATTTAAAAAGAAATATCTATCTATCTATCTATCTATCTATCTATCTATCTATATATATATATATATATATATATATATAATACATACATGGTCTTGATTTGGAAAAGGCTAGAATGCCTTCTCCGTGTCAGGGATGAGGTCCTGCCATAATTGGAGAAGTTTAAGTATCTTGGGGTCTTGTTCACGAGTGAGGGAAAGCTGGAGCGCAAGATCGACAGGCGGATTGGTGCTGCATCTGCAGTGATGCGGGCGTTGTACCTGTCTGTCGTGGTGAAGAGAGAGCTGAGCCAGAAGGCAAAGCTCTCGATCTAGTTCCTACCCTCACCTATGGTCATGAGCTTTGGGTAGTGACCGAAAGAACGAGATCACGTATACAAGCGGACGAAATGAGTTTTCTCTGCAGGGTGTCTCTGGGCTCTCCCTTAGAGATAGGGTGAGAAGCTCGGTCATCCGGGAGGGGCTCGGAGTAGATCCGCTGCTCCTCCACATCGAGAGGAGCCAGTTGAGGTGGCTCGGGCATCTGGTCAGGATGCCTCCTGGACGCCTCACTGGTGAGGTTTTCTAAGCACGTCCAACCGGAAGGAGGCCTAAAGGTAGACCCAGGACACGTTGGAGAGACTATGTCTCTCACCTGGCCAGGGAACGCCTTGGGATTCCCCTGAAAGAGCTGGCCCAAGTGGCTGGAGAGAGGGAAGTCTGGGTCTCTTGACTTAGGCTGCTGTCCCCGTGACCCGACTCTGGATAAGCGGAAGAAAATGGATGGATGGATGGAAATATTTTTTAAAAATAATACTTCCATAGAGCGTTTAGAGGTGTGCAGAAAAAAAGTACACTATTTCCTTTAAAAGCTATATTTTAATTACAAAATAATATTTTCAGTGGCTTAGTGGTAGAGTGCCCGCCCTGGGACTGGGTGATCGGGGTTCAAATCCCAGTCGGGTCATACCAAATTGGGATCCAATACCTCCCTGATTGACACTCAGCTATTAGGGGTTGGATTGGGGAGTTAAACCATCAAATAGTTTCCGAGCTCAGGCACAGCTGCAGCTCATCGCTCTTCACGGGGATGGGTCAGATGTGGAGATGTAATTTCACCAGTGTGTGATGACTAATGGTACTTTTCATGTTAATAGAGCTCCGGGAGTTGACGTCACTTCTCCCGGCATGCAACAGTTCAAATCGAAACGGCGCCATATTGGCATGCGGAAGCCGGCAGCTGGACTATTTGTTATTGTCAGAAAACTCAATCAAACGGGAAATATGGTAGATTCCTGTTGTGCCCCAGGATGCAGAACAGATGCGGACGACATAAGGAATGAGCCATCTACAGGATTCCCCAAGATCCGGAGCGCCGCAAACGTTGGATCATTGTAATAAAACGCGCTAGTGACCGGGCGAAAATGAAGCTGTGGGATCCCGAGAGTAAAGGTTTTCACTTATGCAGCGACCGCTTCATATCAGGTACTTAAACCAACGTTTCCTCAACTGTGTATGGTATTTATTTTAAATGCTTTTATTATGATTCTTAGTGGGCTTCCTAAACTTATTTTGGCGTGGCTTTTTCTGTCTTATTACTCACAGCAACAAGTAAACATCACGTAAAACGTTGCCTCGTGAGTTCTGCTTGCTGCCGTTTACGTGTTTTATGATCACAGCAATTAACCGGCTAAGCTGTATTTAATTTTTAAGCAATGGTTGATCAATTGTCAGATCACACATAAAAAGCACTTTGGATTGCCATTATCGGTCTCACCGAGACTACTTACGTGTAAATCTGTTATTTGTCCGTCCATCCATCCATTTTCATCCGCGTATCCGGAGTCGGGTTGCGGGGGCAGTAGCGTGACTTCCCTCTCCCCAGCCGCCGGAGCCAGCTCCTCCGGGTAAATCCCAAGGGGTTCCCCGGCCAGGTCCGGTGTTGTGCCGGTAAGAAGCCCGCTCTGACAGCTTCTGGCGTCGGAGCGGGCAGTAGAGTCGAGAGTCCCAGACCTTCTCCCCAGCTCCTCCGGCCGGGGGAATCCCAAGGGGTTCCCCCGGCCAGGTCCGGTGTTGTGCCGGTAAGAAGTCTGCTCCGACAGCTTCTGGCGTTTTTAAAAAGTATCCCAGGGGCACGGTAAGGGTCGGAGATGTTCAGTCTATTTAATTTCTGACTATATAAACGATTTCTTCTGTTTTAAAGTGTGAAGTAAACTCCGACGAAGTAAAATCCAAGCGGATCCCGTTCATGGTTACATCCGTGTTTGTTTACCTTTTTTGCATGCCAAAATGGCGTCCACTAACTGAGAGTCACGTGGGGTCCGGAGCTCTATGGCACTGAGTTAATGTCTACATCTACCAGCCAATAGAGGGCACCATTGCAGGTTGCCAAATACGGTAAATGATCCTCTCGGCCTAGCGAGGCTGGCAATGTGAAAGATGGCAGACTCAACAAGTCATGCAGCTGCTTCTGAGCCCAGAAGATGTACTAAAGTTAAATACTGTTGTAAGTAAACGTATTAGTAGCAATGAGCCCTTACCCTGTACGATTCGCCACTGGACATGGTGCGGGCTGGTCACTTTATGTATCAGCAGCGAACCTGGCATCCTGACGGTTGGAAACTTTGTTCTGTTGTTGCAACTACAACCTCCACATACTAGATGGTAAATGGCCTGTATTTGATATAGCACCTTCTAGAGTCCTAGAACCCCCCAAGGCGCTTTACAACACAATCAGTCGTTCACCCTTTCACACACACATTCACACACTGGTGATGATGAGCTGCATTGTAGCCACAGCTGGTCTGGGGCACGCTGACAGAGGCGAGACTGCCGTACACAGGCGCCACCGGTCCCTCCGACCACCAGCAGGCAAGGTGGGTTAACCTGTTCAACCCTAACGCCCCCCAGTTGGGGGCCTCTACAGTTTCATGTCCCAAACATCTACAACTAATTTCCCTCTGGGATTAATAAAGTATCTTTGAATTGAATTGAACAGTCCACATTCTCCAAACACAACTAAAACCACAGTCAAACAGCCCAGATGGGAAACAAGGCCATTTTAAATTGTAATAAATTAAGATACAATGATATTTGAACTTTATTTTAGAAGAGCATCTGGCCTTCAGTGGTGACTGGTGGAAAAAAAACGTGAACAAATTAAGTTGAGGACCCCTGGAATAAATAAAGCAATTGACTACATTTCCTAAATGGAATTTGAACTCACAACCTCCATCCTGTCAGCACTTTCACGCAGGGCAGCTCTTCTAGAATAAAGTTCAAGTATTATTTTTTCTTAATGTATCAAAAACCAAAAATTGCTTTGTTTACAATCTTAACAGTTTTGATTGTAGCTGCTTGAGGAATGCAAACAATCACTGACACTTGGGACATGAAACTCCAAAGGTCCCCAATTGGGAGGCGCCAGGGCCCAAAGAAAAAAGGCCTAGGACCTAAAGGGTTAAGTGTCTAGCCCAAGGACACAGCGACAGACTGAGCAAGGCTCGAACCTGCAACCTTCCAATTATGGGGCGAGCACTCAGCTCCTGTGCCACCGTCGCCCTTAGATGCCGCTACGGTCATCGTGATCCATATTCAACCTTTAACTGAGCTATAAAGAAGAAAATCTGTTTGAAGAAGCTGAGCGTTGTTTCCCGGTGACAGAAACTTTTCCCAAAAGTGAAGCACATCCTCCAGGTGTGGAGTGCCGGACATGGAGTCATCTCTCTGCATTGCTTCCAGAATGTCATTCCGGTAGAAGCCTACACCAGAGAGGCCTGCATGGTAGAGGCCATCGGTGAGTCACTAATATAGGCTTATCGTGGTGAACCCAATAAAAACTGTCTTAGATGCTTCCTGCCGGGTCTGCTGTCATGCTGAAGTTCTTAGCTATTAATGAAGTCATAAAACCTTTGAGAGAATCCATCAGAGGTAAAAAATTTTATGTTTTCTCTGTATTTTTTCTAATTTTAGACAGTTTTGAAAACAATCTGTTGTCAGTTTTGTTATTTAGACAAAAAAAAAGTTTCCTTTAGAACTGCATAAGTAATGAAAAAACTATCTAAATTCCTCGTACTTGGGTAAATTTTGACACATTGAGGTTCAAAACACCCAGAGTTCACATTTGAAGAAGACTGCAGACACCTATTTTCATGAGTAGGTGGCAGAAGTGTAAGACCAAAATGACTTTGATCGTATTAGAATAAATTTAGACTGCCACCAGCTAATTGACATTTGTATTTACTTAATGGATCGGCAAAACACGGCGGAAGCTCAACTGTTCAAGCTGGGAGTCTGTGTGCGTCTTCAGGAGCTCCCAAGAACTGCAGGGTATGCATAGTGGTGATGTTTAGAAGGTTTCAGCATCAAAACCATGTTGGGTTAAAGCTGCCCTGCATAGTGCTGCAGAGAGCGCACCATGTGGCCATTTCAGGAACTGCAGTCACCAAAATGCCATGAGGTTCAAGCCTATTCATCATAATTTACCAAATTATTTCTCTATATTATTTACTTCAGCCTTAAAGGTGCATTATGTAGAAATGAAGTGAAAATGACATCCTGTGGTAAAATTTGGTTTCTGTAACACTTTTTAAACAACTCTGGAGATTTGTGCCGGCTGTCGTCAAATTACAATTGTTGCGCTGCAGTATTAGCTCGCAGGAGACACGGCACCCCCACACTCACTGATGGGGAACAGCAGTTACGTCCCTCCTTCCTTTGTTTTAACAGGAGAAAATCTGACAATCCTGCAGCCCGCTGGATATGAAAACTGTTTCAGTAGAACCTTTCTTCCAAAATGACTGAAACATTAGACTCCTGGGATTTTCTCACTGTAAATTCTCACTATATTCTTACATACTGCACCTTTAAACTGAAGTAACAGAAAAAGATGTGTTTGGGGTGAGATGGTGGAAGGAGTAGCTGATGATAGCGGGTAGGTTAGTAGGGGGGCTGGGGGCAGAGCAAAATACCATGCCCTTTAAACCCATAAAGGTCATGATGACATGATTTTAGCTGCGGCGCCCTGTATTTGGTAGCTAGGCCTTCAGTGCCAGTTTACTGACCTCATATGATGTTACAACGGTTCTGGAGAGTCCCAGAACAACATTCCCCCCACCCCACCTGTCGGAAATTCCCCTGGCTGCGGGAACATCCAGCCTGCTTTAACAGGACCAGTACAGCCACTTCTAATTTAGAGTTTTTCTGGTCATTCTGTAATCAGAATTTCTATAATATATTTGTCCGTCTTCAAACGTCAGCTATCCACATCTTCGCAGTGCCGCCCCTCCTGATACACCGGACTCAATCAATCAATCAATCAATCAAATTTTATTTGTATAGCACCTTCTACAACATTATCCGAAGCCCAAGGTGCTGAACAACATCATTAAAAGAAAAACATTATCAATACATGGGCATAAAAGCACGATAAAAACATAAAATCATAAAATAGCAAGCAAACAGTATTACAGATAAGAGATATTGGAATAAGACAAATCGATTAAAAAAACAAATGTCAGACAAAATAAAATCAAGCATCCGGTATAAAAAGAAGAATAGTTAAAACCATAATGTTAGGGCAATTCAAGTGACCCTAGCGCTGAAACGCAATCAGATAAAAATGAGTCTTTAAACGAGACTTAAAAACTTGAAGGGATGGAGCCTGTCTAATGCTCAGTGGCAATTCGTTCCACAGAGTTGGAGCCAAAATAGAAAAAGCACGACTACCCCTCGATCGAAACTTCGACCGGGGGACCACCAGAAGACTCGCGCTCAATGAGGGGCCACATTTTTCGCACAAGGCGTTCTTGGAGCGCACCGGGGGGGGGGGGGGGGGGGGGGGTCTGCGTAATTTTGAGGTTACGCATGGATGTTTGTTCAATCTGTTCAATAACTGAATATAGGGAATGGCATTTTGTGTATTAAGGGAATACCATTGTGACAAAAAGAAACCCAGTTAACAGTTTAAAATCACTTCTCTACAGCCGCAACTGCACCACTACGGGCCGCAGTTCATGATCAACAGCTAAAATATGAAATTATTAATTTGATTTTATGTGTAAATATAATTAGTTACACTCACTAAAGTTGCTGATTATTTATAGACAAAAACCATCCTCCTCTCTGCACAGGAAGGCTTCCATAACTTTGTCATAGAGCTGTCTCTGTGTTGTACTTCCATCAGTTAGTCCTTTTCTACGCCCATAGCAGCCAAGGCTGAGATAAACTAGCAGCAGGGTTGGGCAGACTCTCGTAATGATGTCCATTTTCTCTGGAAAAAGTCTGTCTTGAAAATAGAACAGAAATAATCCAAATCGGTCTTCTTCTCCGTTAGCCACCCGGTTTGCTATCTGTTGACCAGTGATGATTTAGGGCCACTAATAGCACCCAAACTCGCGCTTGAGAGGAGGAGCGACCTGGGATGGGTGCATAGAACCTGGCAGGAATTAACAGCTCAGTGGTCCGCTGTTGGGTGCTCAATGGGAGCCGGGAGGAGCAGCCTGAGTCAGAAGCAGAGAACCAGGCATGAATTTCTGCTGGTTTCATCTTCAAATATGTCTCCAGCTGCTGGCTTAGCTTATCTAGCAGCTAACTGAAGGAAAACATGGCCTCCTTGTGAACGCGCGTACACCAGGCTCATGCTCCCACAAGGCGGTACCGGCTCAAGCCCTTTCAAAACAAGGGGCCTATGCCCCCCCTTCTCTTTGCACCCAGTGTTGGTGCCTCAGCTGCTTCGGTTGGCCTGCTGCATTCGGCGGATGGCTCCTGTGGTGGCATTTCCTTGCCCTACCATATCTGGGTCATCTGAACTCAGCTCAATAAAAGTTTTACTGATGTTCTTAAATGGATGTGTGTACAGGAGTTGGGGTGGGGAGTCTGATGTGACTGTGTCAATGGCTTTAACTGGTGTGGGAGGGATAGGAATGGGGGTTATGTAGGGTCGTTTTAATCTGTAAAGCACTTTGAGTTGCACTTTTTCTAGGAAAAGCGCATTATAAATAAAGTTTGATTGATAGAAATGTTTACATGCATTTGTGGGCAAAAAGTACTAGATTGAATCGTTTGGTCAGGTGGTGAAAAACTGGATACAGATTTTAAAAACAGGTTTATTTTAACTAAAATATTAGATAATGCTGCTTTAATTGGCGACTCTGTATTGTCACTAGGTTGTATGTCCTGCTTCTCTCTATGTGTCCCTGGCGACCAATCCAGGGAGTCCTCTCGCCCGGTGACATCTGGAGATGTGGTTTGGATAATGAACAAATGCATGAATGGTTGGACTTCTCTATTCAGCGATGCTAACGTTTTCTTTAAACTCCAACATGTATTATTCCATGATTTATAACTCTCTAGCATTAGAAAACTCATAATGCTTTTCATATGTCATATACTAAATGATAGTTTCCTCATCACAGGGTTAAAGATGCTCACCAATCAGAAGCGCGGGGATTTCTACGGAGTTGTGTCCCACTGGGATTTGAAAAGGAAACGGAAGCTCGGCGTTCATCTGTTGTACCGAGCCATGCAGATCTTCCTTGCTGAGGGTGAGAGGCAGCTCCGTCCAGCAGACATCAGGGTGTAACCCCCCCCCACACACACACAGTTTAAGGGAGATGCCACTACTTTACAATAAAAATCGTTTGTTGGTCAGAACTCAGTAAATACAGATAAAATGATGAAATGCGGCATCAGAGATGGGGAATATCTACATTTTTAATTACCACATAAACAGACAAAATGTGAATTTTTTTAAGATCCCGCATGTAGATAAGACATCTTCATAGGTGTAATTGATGATGTTAAATATTTTTCCAACCAATGATTTATTTATCAACTACATTTTTCTGCATCAGGCTTTCTGCCCATTCCATGTTTTTACACAAAGTAATGTTTAGCTGATGTTTTGATATGATAAAAAAGTGCTTAAGGAAATGTTGAAGAATATCCCTGGGTCCAGAAATTGAAGGAGAAAACTGATTTAGGTTTCCTAAGTAGGTTCATAATCCAGCACTCGTACGTCAGATTAATGAAATCATGACTCGACTCGCGTTCAAATACAACTTAATTTAGCTAAAATGTGATTTGACTTGTTTACATCGCTCCTTTTGGTTTGTTCTTGTTTAAAAAGTCAGGAGTCAATGTGATGATGTGTAATGCTATTACTGCGTTTAGGTCTTTTAGAAAGTTTGAGTAAAAGCAGAATATTTTAAACTAGATCAGCAGATTTTCCAGTTAAGTAGCCAGACGAATTTGTTTTTTCCGCTCTTGTGTTGTAGTGTGCAGGATGTGTAGCTTGCCTGCTGTATATATGGGAGGTTACAGCTGTTATCTGTTGTCATAATCTCCATAATTTTGTCATCTCATTTACCACACATCAGTGACCTGAGCAGGGAGCAACCAAAGAGCTCATTATCCCCACGGGGAACCACGATGGATGAGCTGTCCCATATCACAAATAAGGCATTACTACTGAAACACGCAGCTTTGTGTTTTAGAAAATATGTTGTTTTTAAATCCAAGCTGCTAGATTTTAAGCTAAAGTTTGTGATTTATCACAAGTCAAACACTTAATTACAGAGCGTAGAAGTCTGTAATGATGTCTTTTGTTGTCCTAAAATGTCAGTTTTTGATTTGTCTTTTATACCTGTAAAAATAAAGCTCACGAATTTGTACTTTTAAACAAAAATTCACATCTTCATCTTGGCATTTATAAAAAATATTGACTGTTTTTATTGTACTATTTGTTAATATCACTGTGTTTTTCTACCATGTATTTGATTATTTGTTTTTTTGTACAATGTAAATATAGAGTAAATGTAAAATTCAAACAAATATCTGCTGAGCTACAGTCCTTTTCTTTGGGCTCCCTCTAGTGGACGAAAGATGTCATTCAGATCTACTGAACTGGTTAGCGATTACCACCATCATTAAAAAAAAAGAGAAATACTGTAATTTGTGTTTTTAATCAGCTTCTTTATTTTAATACAAATTATTTCAGTTAAAAATAATGTTATTTTATTACAATGGCCACACACAAATGTTTAAATTACTGTTAATGTGACTCATTTAGCGCCATTTGCAGTTTCTTGGTAATCCATTCTTACAGGCATCATCATCATCATCCGTTCCTTGAATCCGCTATCAATCCTACAGCTCACTGACCTGAATCACACTTTCACATATCTGATAGTTGCTAATCATCTTTAGTAGCAGCTTTTCCATTTATTCATTCCACATCTGACTTCTCGGAAATCAAAATCTGAAAATGTGCAATGGCATGCAAAAAAAATAAAAATAAAATAAAAAAGAGAACCTTGGCCTTTCTTACAAATAAAAAGGCCCAAACTTTTTCTTTGAAAACTTGTATTAGTAAAAACAACTGCTCTTTGCTGGTTTTAATTCTGAATCTGCACCTTTTGGTTTCTCATTGAATCACCAAGAAGGTACTTTTGTGTTGGGATGGTGCGGCGTTCTTTTTCAAAATACAAAAGTCTACTGACCCAACACACTTTTAAAATAATTTCAGTAATAAAAAAATACACATTTAGCATCTAGGTTATAAAATATACTAAAAATTCACAAAGAATATATTTCAGCTCTTTTATAGTTTATGCTATATATCCATCTACATTTATACATATTTAATAGTGGTTGTTTTTAAAAGTAGTTTTGTTTTTAAACTACACACGCACACACACACACAAAACTGAATTTTAAGTTCCACCCATTTAAAAACATTACAGAACCACTTGCATAAATAGAGCATCAAATAGGTAAAACATTAAGATTAAAGTCCCATTTAGTCGTCTCACACACACACACAGGTGTGTGGTGAAATTTATTCTCCGCATTTGACCCATCCCCTGGGGGAGCGGTGAGCTGCAGACAAGCCGCGCTCGGGAACTATTTGGTGGTTTAACCCCCAATCCAACCCCTTAATGCTGAGTGTCAAGCAGGGAGGCATTGGGTCCCATATTTTCAAAGTCTTTGGTATGACCCGACCAGAAGTCGAACCCCTGATCTCCCGATCTCAGGGCGGACACTCTACCACTAGGCCACTGAGTCTGTATAAAAATCATTGTTTTTGTATTTAAAGACAGTATAGCTACAAGAAAAAAATTAGGATCTCGATGCAAAATTAATAGATGGTAAAAGTACCTAATTATTAGTCAGAAACCTAAAAACCCATCCTTGATCTAGAATGAAGTGGACTGAACAAAGTATGAGTTTAATTGGGGTTTTGCCTCAAGACTCGTTATAAATTGGCACCTAATAAACAAATGGACCATAAGAGTTTCACAACGGTGCTTTGATCAGATACTTTCATATCATCAATTACATCTAACCTCATTGTGTTTCCTTCAAGCAAAATTGTAAGAGCACAAAAGAACATTACTGAGGCTGAAATCAGACATTTAATTTAATCATATGGTTATTTTACATCAAGATACAAAAACAACACAATAAATACACAAACACATTCATCACTTTTTTATTTTCATCGCATTTTGTTCATCACATGATTAACTAATTCATAATATTGGCCCATTATGTCCCTCCCTCTCTGTCTTTTAACCAAGCCGTCAAGAAGTTGGTTTCCTCCAGCAGCGCGGATGCTGCTGAGCGTAGGCATGAAAAAGAGACAGGCGGATGAAAGAACGCCACCATCAGCATGTTGTGACAATGCTCCCCGTTGACGGTTGGCTGAAATCTGGGACACAGTTGCATTCATCGTTCAGTGAGCTCTTCCACACAGTTAAACCCACCGACAGCAATGAATGTTGATTGTGACCTTTTGCTGTGACTTGGACGTCGGAGGTGAACCAGGCGATACACTTGTGATTATTTTATTTCAGCAAGAAGTCATTCGCTCTGCCTGCTCAGAGGGTTCTGCGTATTTTGGACTCCTCTCTGTCTTTTCTCCGACAGTGACAGACTGGCCACGGGGTACAGTCAACGGTCGATGGTTTACTTTAATTTAGCTCAAACTCACCGACAGCGTTGAATGTTCACCGGGGCAAGAAAAGACCTGATGGTGACCGGGGGACGGCGGTCTGCTTAGAGATAAAGATGAAGCTCGTCTTCTCCGTGGGCGTAGAAGCTCCGAACACTCAAGGCCAAACATTAAATCACCACAAGATGTCCTTAAAGTGGAATCAAACCACGACGATAACACGTTTACAGTTGTAACGATTAGAGGTAAACATCAGAAATGCTTTACACGGGAAAATAATAAAAATAAAACATTTATTTTGTGAATTTATCACTTCAAAATTCATAAAGAAGAAACGTAAGAATGGTCTTGCACAAAACAAAAATAAGACATCTTTGGCTGATTTCATAATGAAGATAGTTCCTCCTCCGGGGGTCTGTTTTACCACAGCTCTTGTAAAAAAAAGGAATCATTTTGACTCACCTCAACTTAGACTCCTAGATGAAGAAAAAAAACCAACTGTGACGTGAACATAATCTACCTCCATGACACATGGTCGACATTACACCACTGATGAGCGTCTGGGAACACAAGTAGCAGTTAAACCAAGGAAGTCATCTTGAAACTCCTGACTCATAGTGGGTTTGGGTAAACACCTGGACTGCGGCTGCAACCAGTTTGTCGAGAAGTGTTTTGAAGCACAACTGCTCGGCCTCTAGAGGAGCAGCGCCATGCCTCAGAGGCTTCATGCACGGTGGATGAGGAAGGCACGAAACTGCCGACTCACTCACAAAACCAAGGGTTTGCTGTTTTGTTATGACGTGGCCCCGAATCTAAAAACTCATCAGTTTGGTTTGTTCTTTTCCTCACTGCGTCCACCACCATACACAGCACAGAGTCGCTGCTCATTTTGAGGGATAAAAAAATGCAGCTGTTCAGTTAGTTGGTGAGGAATATGAAGATCAAAATACCAAAGAGCAATTAGGCATGACGTGATGGAAACTGTGGCGGTGAGTCAAGATGCGGTTGGGCGATTAAACACTGTGTTGTGATGCTTCGGAGCGGGATAAGGAGTGACTTAGATTATCTGGTGGATGTGTCACCTGACAAATCCTCCTTACACATTTAAAACTTTGATTTAAAAATAACTGCGAGACTTTACTACAAAGCGTTCCCTCTTGTGAAGGAGAGTTTGCCGTCTCTGCGCTCCTGATCACATGATTTTGCTGTGTCATCTTTCTTGTATCTTCTGAAACCTTTTTATGCTTCATAGCAAAAACTAAAAATAAATTAATAAAATAAAATGCATATTTAAGTTTAAAAAATATAATCCTTTCTTAGCTGATGATGAGCTCGAGCAGCTCTGGCTTTGAGTAACGCTGCTAACAGACTCTCGTCATCGTGTCCCCCCCCAGCTACTGTGATTTGACTGACAGTGTTGGAATTGACAGAAGTGGATGAGAAGGAATGTAGTTTTTATAAGGTCTTTTCTGGCTGCGGGTCTGTTCCGACAGTGGGAAAGAAAAATCCGGGACACGCAACTAAAGAGAGAAGAGCCCTGAGCTGACAATGTGGCCTTAATCTGAATGACAAGGTCTGCACATCAGCCCCAAACCAGCCCAGGCTGAGTGTCGGGAGGGGGGTGTGTGTGTGTGTGCGTGTGTGTGTGTGATGTGGAAGCTAACGGGGAGTGAGAGAAATAAGAAGAGACAGAGGAAGAAGAAGGGGAGGGCGTCCTTCCTTCAAACGTACTGGCCTTAATGGCACAGACAGCTCTGACATTTAACCACTGAATCATTTTTATATAATCGGGGAGAGCTGAGAGCCAGGCTAAATATAGAGAGCTTTAAAACACAATTAATAATAATAATAATAGTGATAATAAAATGCAGATAACAGAACGCAGTCGATCTTTCTCATGGCTCACAACGCCTCATTTTCAAAAACAAACATGAAGAAATCGGACTAAAGGGGCAGCGAACCGAAACAAATCTGAGCAGTAGGTGAACTACAAGCTTTGTGCTGTTTAGCAATTGGTGTTTGTGTCCTCCTGATCAATAATGAAGTGCCCGACTGGTTCCGTGAATCTGCTCGATGGCCAACGAGGAGCTCTGCAAACCCTAGATAGAATCTCTTAATGTAGATTTGCTGTGGAAGATGCGGGAAGTCGGGAGATAAAAAGGTTGGGAGGCAGAGACGGGAACAAAACGATTTAGGAAGAGCATTTCAATTCAGCAAGAAAATAGCTGAACTCGTCGGTGTAATGAGTACTGTCAGCGTTTCACAATTATTACTGAGGACAGTCAAAACAGACGTGTAACTCCAGACAGACAAATCATACAGGAGGTGATTAAATTACTCCCAAACTCAGCTCCGTTTCACAAGCGTGTGAACACATAGTTCTGTTTTTGTCCTTTCATTAGCTTAGTGGATGAAGAAAAAAAAAGTGCCTCTTCTCTTCTGTACAGGATTTCCACCTTTCCACTGCTGTCAATCTGATTTCTGCACTCCTTTAATCACCGGAGCTAATTTTAGGTTTGCCAGTCCAAGCCTTTGTCTGGAGCTGGAAGAAAATGTTTGTCAGAAATTGACTAAAAAAAGAAGAAAAGGCAAACATATACATGAATAAAATTATATATATATATATATATATATATATATATATATATATATATATATATATATATATATATATTTCTTTTTTTTTATTATTCAGTTTTTTCCCTCATTACAGGGTCTAAAAGCAGTTTTTTGTATTGGCTAGTTTTATGTAAGACAATATACAAGAAACACCACATAACAGTTTTTAAAACATTCAAAATCCTGATTTTAGTGAATTAAATAGGAGCACGTGTGTATCAAAAGAAAAGCAGAAGCCTAAGCGTATGCCTGTCTCACCTTCACCCCACCCTACTCCCAGGAGCAGGAGGAAATTCCAGTCGAGGGCTGCTGCTCCCTGCCTGCAGGTACAGGCCGGCCTCCTCTGTCTGCATGTCTGCAGATATCATACCTCGATGTGATCTGTTTAGCGCCTTGACTTAATGTTCACCTGCTCACGCGCCCCAGGCTCTGCGTGTTGGAGCTGCATTGGTGTGTGTGTGTGTGTATGTGTGTGTTTTTGTGACTCTTTCAGTCTCCTCACAGCTGGAATGGCGTCTCCATCTTTATCAGCTGCACTGCAATTATAGACACACACACACAGACACGAACACACATTGAGAACGACTGAGGGATTTTTACAGCAAGGACAGGATATTTTGGAAATAATTTTCAATCTTCTGCCAAACAATATGTCGTGAACAAGGAAACACGAAGACAGTCAGATTGAACATTTGAGAGGACTCATGAATTTTGGAGCCAAGAAAATGAGAACAGAACATAAAACTAATCAAGGGTTTTCAAAAATGGATTCAAATGTGAAACTAAATTCAATCATGTATGAAAATAATACATTTACATAATGCAAGTAGATTTTTAACTGGAGCTCCAAGCATCCCTTTGTGTGACTTGCATGCATAGTGTGTCATTTCCTCCTGAGGTTGTCACCACACTGACAGATACAAACTGACTTGTGACACCACAATCACAAAACACACACACACACACAGAGACACAAGAGCAGGGGTCTGAGTCCAGCTGGAGGTGGTCTCCTGCCAAACCTGCAGGGAGGCTGACAATTCATATTCATCACACACACACACTGATTGAAACTGACAAGACACGTGGACCCACACATGCACATAAACACACGTGAGTGGGAGAAGAAAGTCTACTGGTGAGTGAATCGATATTTCAAGTGCAAATAGACTTCTTTTAAATAAAACATTTAAAACAGAAAATTGTTTTGCTGCATTTCTTTTTCTTGGACTTCTCATTTCTGCTCCACCCCGCTTACGCCAAATATATGCGTTCTACATTCAATAAATAGTCTATTTAAAAAAGGAAAATGAGGTGTTTATGGAAAGAGACAGCTATAATTGTATGAAGACCAGCAACAGTAAGTGATGTCTCGAGAGGTGTGGACCGGGAGAGAGGAGAGAGAGAGAGAGAGAGAGAGAGAGAGAGAGAGAGAGAGAGAGAGAGAGAGAGAGAAGTTAATAATAGCCAATGGGCTGGGAATGATCGAGACACATGGAGGAAGTGTGCTGTGCTCAACTCCCTTTCTTTTGTCTCTCTCTCTCTCTCTCTCTCTCTCTCACACACACACACACACACACACACACACACACACACACACACACACACACACACACACACACACACACACACACACACATACACACACACACACACACACACACACACACACACAGAGAGAGAGAGAGAGAGAGACTCTATGGGGCGCCAAATAATAACCTTCCTTGTCATTATCATCGCCCAGCCAAACTGCTCCCCTCTCCTCCTCCACCACCATCTTCCATCTTCACACACAATCATCGCCCTATCGTTTACTGTGCCGTTAAATGGGAACATCAATACACACATCCATTAGTAGAGTGAGTTCTTTCCTCTGTGATTCTCGAGTGCCTTAATAGTGCACACACACACACACACACACACACACACACACACACACACACACACACACACACACACACACACGCACGCACGCACACACACACACACACACACACACACACACACCTGAATGTTAAGAAAGCTAGCCTTGTGAGGCACAGCTGAACTGATGGTGTGTGTCATTAAAGCTGGACAGTGACACGGTCAGTGTAAGGATGGTGTCGTCAGTTAAAGCTGCGATAGTGAATTTACACAACAAGCTAGGTTTTGAATGCAAACACGGTCAGGGAATGCTCATACATCCCCTCAGGTCTCTTCCCTGAGACGCTTTTGTTGAAACCGGAAACTAAGAACGCTAAACACCAGTCACCGTTTTCTAAATCCAAACATCTTTTGTTGTCCGTGACTTCAAATGTTTTTTTTTTTCTTTTTTGGCCTCTGGTAGTGTGTTCTCAAGTTGAAGCGGTAGCAGCCGGCTGCTCCTCCTCCTCTGTTATTGAGCAGCGAACCTCTCACACCAGTGGTGTTCTGTAGCTAAATATGTGAGTGCATAATGAGTGGAGGGCCCAGGGAAGTGCGGCTGTTCGGTGAGACCGACATCCGGATGGGCCAATAGTTGCTTTTGGTCCAAAATGTGTTTTTGGCACCGGTTTTTAGACAAATGCAAGAGAACCACTTTATTACTTTTTACATGTATTTTATCTCCACTATATATGTATAGCTATGTTAGAACGTTGTTAAGAGGCACGAAAAAAATGTTTTAAGCTAATTTGTTTTCCAAATTTCCCATTGCAGCTTTAAGCCTCTGGTTCACCAGATAATTGGTTTTATCCTTTTGTAATGTATTTATGGTTGAATGCTTTATTCTAGCCACCTTTATTTGCAAGACTACAGGTAACGTACTGAACTATGCACTATTCATTTGTCACTTCACACACACACCCTGGCAAATTGTAGCCTCGCCATACACAGTGCTGTGCTTCGAGCTGCTCGGAGTGATAACAGGGAGATATTCAAAAGCAGAAACCAAGACTAATTAATTAGTTTTTGCATGCTAATTAGCAGTGATGAAACATCTGCATTTTTCTTTTAAAAATGAAAGGAACACATGTACAAGTAATTGTTAAACAACACAACCTTTCTAGTCAGAAAGAAAGAAAAACACCACCACAAAGTATTAGTTTTGCACTGTATTCATACCTTGATGTCCTCATTTTAAACTTAAATTAGATGCAAATTAGTGCGGGCAGCTGTCTGACAGTAGAAATAACAATAAAATTACCCAGAAGAACAACGAGAACCAGATAAGGAGGGCAAATGGGGCAGTATGAAGGAGGGAGGGGTTTCCCACAACGCTACACTGTAATTTCAGCATAAAGAGGGTGCCTTTTTGTGCAGGGTGTGCTCGGCAGGATGCAGGGAAGCCTGGGAGGGGCGCAGGGTGGGTTCTATGTTCGGTTACAGAGGGGTTGTGGGGACATGTGGTACGCCTGTTAAACTCGTGCAAATTGGCTTTGACTGATGGAAACAGGAAAAAAAAATAGAAAAAGGAGAAGCCGCATTCCCTCGTATGTGCGCTCTCTCTCTCTCTCCACACACACACACACACACACACACACACACACACACACACACACACACACACACACACACACACACACACACACACACACACACAGACAAGAATTACAAATGATAAATGTGACATATTTCGCTATTCTATAAATAGTATGAATTTAAATTAAATATGTAATAAGTGAAAAAAAATATAATTAAAATACTAACCAATCAAAACAGAATTTGGATTGTTTCCAGATGATTTGAAGTTTTTTTTCTATAAAATCGTTGAATTTGTGTTAAATGCAAAAAAAAAAAAAAAAAGGATAATGAGTTTGTTTTCTTAAATTCCCACCATTCATTCTGACTCGGTGGTTTCTTTATCCTTACCGTTACTGGATTTGTGTGTGTGTGTGTGTGTGTGTGTAAGTGGCGGGGTGGTGGAAGACCGCAGACAGCCTCTAGGTGCCTTTGTGCTGAGCGTGTGTATGCTTGCGTGCCTCCTTCATGTCTGGACCTGGACAGAAAACAAACAGAAGAAAGAGAAAAATGGCATAGGATAAATTCAGGTGTTGTTTGGCAGAAAGCATGTTATTAAAATGTCATTCACAAAAACACACACTTACACACAGGATGGATGGAAGCACACAAAGCCTCACATATGCACAGTTGACACACACTGCTGGAGTTAATGTGCTTTAAAGCCAGTAAGTCACTTGTGGTTGATAATGGTGAGATAAATTTCAGCTGTGTAAAATGATGAGTGAGCTGTATTTGCTTCAAAAAGTCACCACTTCGTCTCCTCCCAAAGAACTCACGTGGTTCTAATTCTAGTTCTTATCAACACCCTGGGTGGTCCTAGGAAACACCCACGAGGAGCCTCCGTGTGTGAATATTAACGCATCATCCAGCTATACATATAAAAAATGGATGCCTTGCATTCAGCAGCCTCCACTTTCTGCACCGAGTAGGAAAATCCTGATGCGGCAACAGTTACGTATCCTTCAACAAAATCTGGGTAAATGATTGGCTTTTATGCGTTGTTCTTAACAAAATAAAGACATTTAGAAATATGACAAACTTCTATATAGTTGAGGCTGATAGACTGACGGCATTCGTGATGTAAGGGAATCAGCTCAGAGACAGAATGAACCATCAAAAGAATTTCTGATTATAAAATCTAAAGCTGACCACATGGTGGGAGAAAAAATAATGCATAAGGGAACACAACTCAGGTTGCTTTCCTTATAAGTTGTAAAAAATGTGAAATATTACTTTAGTGGAGTCATCTATTGCTAGCATGTATCTGACATGTTGAGCTTTAAAACTGAGCTAAATTAAAACGTCTTTATTAATAGATCTGCCAGAGAACACAAAAATTCCACCTTTCTCTTTGTAAATAAAAACCTGCATCATCTGTGTAAAAAGACACTCCTCTGTCATCAGAATTAGTGACGGTGTGTTTGTCATTCCTCTGGATCTCCTGATGCTTCCTTTGACCTGGGACCGTTTGGCCTCCTATCGCGGGAGATAATGAGTCATACTGCGCACACGGAAATCTGCCAGTTCATTTGTGGTCAATAAGCACATCAAAGTTCGTGTGGAAGTCATATTCGTTAATGCTTTTTTTTCAAGCCACTTTAGCCGCATTAATGATTTCTTTAAGCTCCCTGCTGTTTGGAGTTTTAAGTAGTCCCTCTGAGACTTTCTTCTTTTGGTTTAAGATCACGTTTGCCCTTTGGCAAAAACTAACAGCACGTGGTCATAATTAGATGTGGCACGCACAAGAGCTGGTTCGTACAGATATCTGGGAGTCTAAACGGGCTGTTTATAAGCAAATGTTTACCAATTCTGTTTCCACTTTTTGTAAACATGACTAATTGTCGAGCGTGTTGCAAATGAGCAAAAATGAACTTTGACATTTTCTTATGCAATGTGGCAATCTCATCTTTTTACTGAGTTGTGTTATTATTGAACCAAATGAAGAATAACACAACGGAGCCTAAAATCCCCCCAAAACAAAAACCCGACTGCTTTAGAGGCTATTAAAAGGTGGCTTGCTAAAATAGACGTGCCAGCGAAATATGGTTCCTCTGAACTCCTCTCAGCCGGATCTACACTCTTGGAGAAAGAACAATGATTAACCTTGACCACAAGACAAATTGCCTCAGTTGTTCAAACTTCGCTTTGATGTTAAATAGGGAGAAAGCACAGGAAAGCTGCTCGCTACAGCCGAAGGAGAAATTAAAGCTTTTACGCCGACTAAGAACTTCCTGCCTCATTTCTTTCTCAAAATGTTCACAGCCATTGTACAATTACATTCGTTTAGGTTACCATTTCTTTTAGAGTGATTCAAATATTGTTCACTTGCTATTTCTCTGCCAGATTTCCATATTTATTTATCTCTTTTCAGTTTTTTTCTGTTTTCTATTCCCCCCCCCCCCCCCCCCCGCACTTCAATAAGCACACCTGCTGAGACCACAAACCAGATCACCTCTATCATTAAAGCCCCAGTATATACTACCAGCATATACCTTTGGTACATTTAAAAGAAACTTAAAAAAGCAGACCACCCATGTGACTTCAAGATAAAACGCAAAAAAGATAATCTATCTTCTTACTCTATGATAAATAATCCAGCTGACCTAAAAGAGGTTTGAGGGTTTTTATAGAACACAGGAAGTGTTTGTTAATGAGCAAACACTTTTAAACAGGAAATGCTTGTTGTGGGATTGAATGGTATTGCATTAATTGTAAAGGGAGTGTATTTTTTTATATCTTTTTTTTTCACTCCTAAAACCAAATTTCTCGCTCTCGTTTATAAAATCCAGTTTGTGTTTAGTGGTTAAGTTATGCAAGAGTTTTCAAAAGGTACAAAAAAAGCTACGGTCTTCTGTTGGCCCAGGTAACTTTTTTATGCCTTTCAGATTACGGTAAAATCTGCTTCTGTGGTCCAGCATGGTTCAACGAGTGGAGAACGACACACACACACACGCACGCACGCACGCACGCACACACACACACACACACACACACACACACACACACACACACACACACACACACACACACACACACACACACACACACACACACACACACACACACACACACACACACACACACACACAGAGAGAGAGATTTGGAGTTCTACTTCCAGGCCACCCAGGGTTGAAACGCACAACATGTGAGAACGAGGGATGCTGACGACGGCAAAATCCTGCCAATCGGACCCATTTGGGCTCTATGCGATTTATTCTAAGGACATAAATACTTTTTTAAAGAGAAGCATTTATGGTTTTATGGTCGTACATAAATGTAACCCACTTTTGGATCATTTGGCTTCTGCTGAATGCGTAAATACAGGCTTGGACAGAGGCTAAAGTTAGCTACGTGATGAAACACACAGGAGGTGCACATTGTTCTCAGCAAAGCAAAGCATGTTTAAGTCCAAGAACGTCATGTATGTCAGCCAAGCTCTTTGATCAGTTCTGCTGTGCAGCATCAACGACCGACACAGGTACCACAGCAGGAAACGTGTGGCATGTCTATGTTTACACCGCACCGTCGACATGTATATATGTTGATCTTTATGCTATGTCAGTGTTCTTGCCATACTGTGTTTGTTTGTAATAAACGAGTACAGACATGTAGAGCTAGACCACCCAGAGACGCTACACGAACACCCTCTGCAAAGAGAGGCACAAGTCTTAATTATATCCATCCTCTGGGAGTGACTTTCTACTGAAAACAGACTTCTGAGACACCCCCCACCCTCAACCAGTATGCCACAAACCTCATGATGCAGCATTCTGGAAAGACCGTTTTGGTCAACACACTGACCTTAAATTAACAAGAATGGTGAAGTAGACCATTTCATTTCAAAGCAACCTAGTCTGCAGGGTTTTAAAGTTGCGCAGTATTTAAAAATGAAATTTAATCCCACAGTACGACTCAAACGAACACCTGCACAAGGACGCAAAGACACGACAGTTTGTGCATGCGGGCCCCCACATGAGCTGCATTATCAACTGGTCTGAGGAGGAGGTTGTTGTGACTGCGCCATTCCCTTTCATGATCCCTAATTTTCTAGTTGGGAATGTGAGGGGGCAGCTGGTTGGTGTGCGCACAGACACACCGAGACACAAAAATGAAAGATAGACTCTAAGAAGCGACTATCTGCCAAACAAATCCTCCTTGAGCTTTGATCTGCTGCCCACTTCTCCCTCTGTGGATTTGTTGTTTTCAAGCAAACAGCTGTGATGTTTAGCCAAGGTGCAGCAAGACTCCAAAGCCCAAAGAAGTCAAAATTTGCTGGGAAAAAAAAATGTCAAAAATCCCTCAAATAATTTAACACATGGCAAGGGTGATAACAAAAATGTTCATCACGTTTTCCACTGATTCCTTCGCAAGGTTTTCAAAATCTTATCTTAAAAAGATCAAGGGGTTAATCTGCTCTTGTTGTAGGTTAGCTGAGATGCTATCTAAAGTCATTTGTTCCATGCATCGAGGCTAATGACCCTGATCCGACGCTCGCCGTTCGGCAGGGAGTGAGGGAAGGTAAGTAACCTCATATATTCTCAGGGGTCCTAGATAATGAGGGCGAATGGGAATACGAGCCACGGTCCATCATCTACTTAGACTCTAGACAGTCTCCTCTTCCCAGTCACACACACACACACACACACACACACACTTACAGCAGAACACAAACAGAAATTCCTCTTTCGCACGTAATTCCACTCGTGTCTTTTTAAGTAAATGGGATGCGTTCCATCATCAATAAGTCGATAGTCTATTAATTCAGGGACACTGCCTTTCTTACAGTAAACAAGTTCCATCATCAAGATAGCAGCTTGTTTCCATCCATCTTTTCTCTGCTTTTAAACACCTGCTTAAAAATCATCAGTCTACCGGGCTGCTTTGTACTCAACAACGGGAGGAAATGTGCTGCTGTGCTCTTGTCATGAACATTGCTTTTTACATTTATTTCTTCTTATTTTTTTCTATCAGCTGATTAGCGCATATTTAGTTTCCTTCCCCCCATTTATTAAGTCCGTGACACTATGTATGTACAATTGTCACAAATGACATACATCATTGTTCAGGTTACTTTGCATTCCTTACCAAAGCTGCTTTAAAGGTGCTGCCGTACACGGAAGAGCACGACCGCACTACACAGACGATGTATGGCTATGCATGGATGTCCCTGCTCTGGGAAGCTGAGTGAATTCGGCTGTGATGGGAAAGCAGCAGGGGGTCCACTCCGCTTTTATTCGATTCGAGTCAAGCATGGCTGCCTCTTTCACTCCTGAAACGCACAGGAATATTTATGTGTGTGTATGTGTGAAAAAGACAAGAGAATGGGTGCAGGAATAAATACCTACTGCACTCAGTTGAACAGTGTGTGTGTGTGTGTGTGTGTGTGTGTGTGTGTGTGTGTGTGTGTGTGTGTGTGTGTGTGTGTGTGTGTGTGTGTGTGTCAGTAATACCTCCTATGGCAGACTAATGATAGGTCTTATCGACACCCAGCAGTGAACGCAGGCCTTTGTCTCCTCTCAGGACGCATTATGAAAGGCTTAGGGAGCTGCCTTTGACGCCTCTTTCATGCGTTCGCCCACCGATAAAACCCTGCACGAAAAAAACAAAACCATTAGACGACTTGTAGCGTGGCGAGGTTAGTCACAATAAAAAACAACACCCGACTTGTAGTTATTTTGCTGATGGAGTGCAAGTAGCTCAAAAACTCATAAGTCACAAAAAAAAGGTGGAGATTGAAACTGGAATTTACATTTGGGTGACTAAAATCACAAAACTCAAAACAGTCACCCGTTTAAAATTGCACATTGTTCACATTTGGGAGTGGAAGGTAAAACCTGCACTAGTTTGAATCGTTGATTCAAATTATTTTAAATACTTGCAAAACTGCAAGAGTTCAAATTCTTTATTTTGAAAAGGTTTCCATGTCTCCTCAGACTAAATATTTGTATCGATTCTTCCAAGACTCTCTACACGGATCAAGGGGGAAAAAATCCAGAGTGTATCTCAAATCTTTTTTGGACCATTTTTTTCCACATCTGAGAGCTCTGGTCATTATTGTGTTACAGGTTGAGATTTACTTATGTAAACAAGCAAATTATGAATTAATAATCATAATAATAATAAGAAAACGTTACTTCTCACTCGGAGAAGTGGACAACCTAATAAAAAAGGGACAGCAGTAGCTTAGGAGGTAGAGCGGGTTGTCCAGTAATCGGAGGGTTGCAGGTTTGATCCCAGCTCCGACTAGAGAATGCTGTTGTGTCCTTGAGCAAAACACTAAACCCGCCTTGCCTGCCAGTGGTGGTCAGAGTGTTGTACTAGATTAGAATCTAGACCATCTTTTCACTTAATCTACAGGATGGCTTGGCAAGCTAATGTTGGACCTTTGTTTGCAGAAAATCATGAATTGAAGCAAAATCGCAATTTCTGCTAGAAAACTTGCATTTCAATCTTTTTCTAAGGTCGCTCAGCCCTAGTTGAGACTCCTCCATCCCATTCCTCACAGCAATTAGAGAGAGGCCAGGAAGCGCATTATTTTTATGATCTTATAAAGACATTAGGGACACCACTGTACTGACCCCCACCGCATCTCAATTTACCAGCACTCTACTTAGTTTTAGCTCTCCCTCGCAGATACTTGTCTACAGCTACATTTGGATATTCTTAAAGAACACGCTTTACTTTCTTCTTTTACTTTTTATACCTCGGCCTGCTTACTGTACACCCGACAATATTCCATCTACACCTCAATTTTCAAACGACAGTAGCAGACTCAATGAAAAGCTTTGTTCTTTGTTTGAACAGAAAGGTTACCATTTTCTCCACTTGTCCTTTAGGTTTTCATGGTTGTTCCCCTTCTGAATATGTATTCGCCCTAACCGTTGTAGACCATTGTGCATCATGTGCTGGTTATTTTGCGCGAGCATGAAACTGCTGATTACTCGGTCTGTCCTCCAGGTCCGGCAGAGAATCAGTATGACAAGACGGAGTGACTCATCTGCCTGTCATGTTCCCATAAATTTGAAAAAAAAAAATAAAATAAAATAAATTATAAAAATGAGACCTTGTGACACAATGTGGCTTGGGCCCTGCAGCCTCACCACTATCTATGCAAAAAGACACCTCAAAGTAGATCCAGAGTCCTGCTGCTTTTAAAGCCCGCTTAGATAGACTCGGCTGCTCCTGAAAGACCTCCTTCCATGGGAAGATGCACTTGAGAGGGAAAAAGGTGGAAGTCAGGAAAGAGCTGTAGCACGCCTGGATATTTTCTAACATCCTCCGTCTTTATTCTTTTTTCCCCACCAGCTCCAAGACAACTCCTGCATCCTCTGACAAGTCCCTAAAACAACGAAACAATCCTCTGCCTTTACTGATCCCACATGGTTGATGCGGAGTACATCTGTTAATAATCTGATAATATCTGTTTATTTGTAAATAAAAGATGATGAAAGAAAGCATTTCCTCCTTAGCAGAGTTCAGAACCACTTCTATTTTAAATTATTTTTATTCTCCCTTATCCAGCTGGTAGGATTTGGAAAGACAGCTCAGTGATTAAAACTTGTACTTTATTTAAATCATCACTCACTAGGGATGCACCGATGGATCGGCATTTGATCGTAATCGGCCGATAGCGCCCCTATCGGTTTTGATCGGAATTTTCAAAATAGATCAAAGCAAACCGATCAGGTAGGGTTGTCACGGTAACCAGTGTAGCGCTAAACCCCGGTAAAAAAAAAAAGTTGACAATAATAACCGTCTTGTTTTTAAAAAACTATATTATCTTGGTGGGTTTACCGTGGCTGCGGTGTAGGCGCGGTGACCCTTACCAGCCACCGTATCATCTGCAGAAGTTGCCGGCGGCACATACACGCTTTTTTTACAACTAAACTTTCTTGAAGCTAAAGCTGAAATAATGGTCAAAGGAGGAGACGGCAGCGCTCAGGAGGACATTTATTATCCCTCAAAGAAGACAAAGTCGGAAGTACGGGCATATTTTAGATATTTGAAGAATGCCGAGGGACAGTTGATAGAAGACGGCTATCCTGTTTGCAGCACGAGCAGAAAAAGTGTCTGTGAAAGGCAGCAACGCTTCTTATCTCATGACACATCTGCGTGACCATCACCCACAACTCTACAGTCAACGCAAGGCAAGTTAACGTTAGCGTTTTGGCTAAAATGTGTGATCCGAGGATTTGGGTTGAGGGAGAATGCAACGAGTCGCTATATAAAGCAGCCGCAGCGCCGCTACCTGCATATAAACCGTGTCGCGGACACCCCCATATTGAAATGACGCTATGCATTACGGGGCTCCCAGGGGCAGATAAGAGTTGGTCTCTCTCCGAGAATAATTATGAATTTAACAATGATTACTGCCTGATGACATTTTCCCACATCTGCAAAGCTCACTGGAAGGACACAAACCGAGGACAATATTTTCCTGAAATAGGGATTGCTCAAGTAAGGGTAAAAAAAAAAGTATCTGATTAGAAGGCTACTTGAGTACTGAGTATCATCTGATCTAATATTTTTAAATGATGACATCAAACAGACATAAAATACGAAGTTATGGGCAAATATTGGTATTTGAAAGACTAAAGGGGAAAAATGTAAACAAATAAACAACATAATTACAAAATAACACATTTTAGGCAAAATTTAGACACAAACTGAGGACAATATTTTCCTGACATACAGTGTTTAATTAATTGTGTGAAAATGTAGCACGTTTAAAAAAAATACCGCGATAATACCGAAAACCGTGGTAATTTTGGTCACAATAACCGTGAGGTTAAATTTTCACACCGTGACAACCCTAATACAGACCATTTTAGATTAGGTTACATTTCCTTTATTCCCAGATTATGTAGTTTGTAGCACTCATTATAATGTTGTAGAAAATTTCTGGCCAATCCACGTGATCGGTATCGGTGATCAGCATTCTTTGATATCGGTATCGGTGATCGGCAGCAAAAAACCTGATCGGTGCATCCCTACTCTACACCCCATAACCCCACCAAACCCTTTCATCATGCCCGCTCATTTAAAATGCTGTAATACCCTATTTTTAATCGTGCAACAGCTTTTTCCCATCAATCAACTGATAATGACAGTGAGAGAAGAAAATAAAAATAATATATTCAAAATAGTAGCTATATGTGCTTGAAGCAAGAAAGAAGGAAAAGAGACCAAATGAACCGAAAATCTGCTCAAGCAAAAAAAAATAAAAAAAAAGGTGAATGTAAAGCACGAAGAGCGAGAAGAAAGGAGTGAGTGCAGCTGTGCTGGGTTGATATGAAATGAGTTAACCTGAAATGAAATGAACGCTGCGCTGCGCTGAGTTTGCTCTGTCTTCTGCAGAAAACGAGGTGCAAGTCATATTGAAAGTTCTGCATTTAGAGTGGGATGATGTAACACGTAGGGTTAAAACCTTTCAGACGATGGGCGTTCCAGAGGCGGCACATGCACGGAAACACCGTGTGCACGTTGGATTTATTAACAGTAGAATGACATTTTTTTAAAAGGCATAAATCAAGAAGGAATTATGTGTTTAAATGAAAGAAACTTGAGATTTAGAGGAAAATCACACCGTTGCTGTTGTAACCTCTGGGTGGAAGGTTGAGGTGAAGGACTGTTTCATCAGAAGGGAGGATGACAAGTACAGAGAGAAAAAACATTTTCTTTTCCCTTTCCCTGCATCTCCTCTTTTTTCTTTGAACCACCCCCCATCTGTGTGTGTTGGTGGCCATTCTGTCCATGCCTGCATGGAAGAAAGTGATTTACTGCTGCTTTCAGCTTCACACAGAGAGTCGCTTTGGGAACCGCTGAAACACCGTTAAGACAATAAGGTGGCTCCTCCGCCAGTTTTCATTCCTGCGTTTTGCCTTGTGGCTAAGCATCCCAGAAGTGTTTAGACCTTTTTTTTTTTTGCTCTATTCGATGCTGAAAAAGAACACTAAAGCCTCTGCAACATGAAATTATTTCCCTGTGTCACACAGGTGGATTACAGCAATGAAAACACCAGTTCCAACTGAGATATGTTATTGTTGTAAAACTTATTTTTTCTGATTTTCTCACAATTCTATCAATGTGGTTTTAAAGGAGTGAATTACTTGTTTGATCAATACATTTGCAGTGGTCTCTAGTAGGAATAATGCCTTATAGGCACCACTCAGGGCACAAAAAGCCCACAAACCCCTGGCCCCGCAGGACCAGACTGCGACATCAAAGCTGTGCTTTAAGCGGGATGATTTGGAGTCTTATTTCCTGATATTTAGACATCTAGCCTTGGATTGGATAAAAGCAAGGTGACTACCACTAACTCTGTTTGCTCTGGGACATGGATGTTTCATCTCCACAAGCTCAGAGTATCTTCAGCCATGGGAGTCGCTAATGCTAGCGGTTAGCTTCTGTTGACCAAGATGTTCTCAGCTGATTCTGGACATTAAAGCAACAGCGGCCTTCCCCGTCATCAAAATGTGAGACGTAGATCTTTTCTCATGACCTGAAATGTGCCCCAACACTATAGAAACTGTTAAATTAAAAATCAGCCTTTGAACTTATGCTGCACCTTCTGCACTGCAACTACTCACCCTTTAACTTTGTCCTTTTCATTGCTTAAATCAGAAATTATTTTGGTGTGTATTTAAATTGTGCTGCAACGCTGATTTGAATGTTTTAGCTATTCTTGCTAACGGTAAGCACATAGAATCCTAGATTTTCACCGTCTATATTCTATCAGAAGCTAATTCAGGTGATAGGTGTAAGACGGTTTTCATGTTCAAACTCAGAGTGACCAATTATAACCAGAAATATTCATTAAAAATGTTTTTTCAGCCAACCACACCCTTAAAGTTCATCTCCCGATGTTGAATGAACCCATTCTGCATTATTTTTATTTCCTTGCCTATAGTTTTTCTCTCTCTCTCTGAAAATAATCCCCTCATGACTTAAAACAGCTTAGATGTACTTCAACACCTTTGCCTCATTTAGAATGTGTGGATCTATGCAAATGAGTCCCCGCCTCCATCTTCAGTGCCTGCCTGCAGCTTTAGCTCGGCTCAAACACTCAATGGGAAGTGGTTTTATTGGATTAGTAGTGAGGACTGTTCACTTTCATATTGCTTTATCTGAATGGTTATGTTCAGTGTTTTATTTTTTGTCGCTCTATGGTGTAAAAAGAGAAGCTTTCCCTTCAGAAGATAAACGAGGAGGAAGATGTTTTCTTCTCCGTTCCATCACCCAAAAACTAGAGGAAGTGAAGCGTACGCTCCTGAATCAAACTATATTTGTTTTGCTTTTTATTCTCATCAGCAGCGAGGGCTGTGGCCAGCTTTTATTCAGTAAACAAGAGGCATTTTCTTAGAATCAGTATGAGTTGTGGTCACTGATCCTAAAACAGCATCAACTTCCTTCAACCCTTCACAATAAGAGTCTCAAGCATGCACACGTACCCCAAAATACTCTAATAGTAGGAGGATATTTCTGATGGATATGGTGAACATGTGAAGAATTTCTACACAACAAAAATGGCTGAGCAAGATGGCGGTGTAAGATGCGTGAACAATCATTTTATAATCGCATGACATTCCTGTTCATTTTAATCAGTTGGAACAATTTATTATTACTTTTCCTCAGTAAAACCAGGTAAGATTTTTCAGAAGTTTAAGGATATTGTACAGCACCAAGTAACAATTACAGTGTCTGATGTTATTTCCTGATAATTAAATCTCATTAGCGAACTTAGCTCATTTACTCAAGGAATTATGGGTAAGTTTCTGCTAATGAGTCTAAAGCTACAGGTTTCTGTAGCCTATTATTTCTTCTGTAGCCTCCCACAGAGCACAGCGCTCCGAGGAAGGCTACAGCGTTAGCCGACACTTGTTAGCAATAAAGGTTCAATCAAATCTTGTACTACGCTTTGTTTAACTAGAACAATGGAACGAGAATGAACGTACAAAAGAATTATCGGTAATCCGTTTTTGCACCAGAGCTGGTTTAGTTTCTAATTTTTATTAAAATATAAATATAAATTTATTTTTGTTACTTTGACATATTCTTCAACTATTTCTCAACATTTTTAAAGGTGTGGTTTACTTGTTTAATCAATACATTTGCAGTGGTCTCTAGTAGGAATGAATGCCTCTGATGAAAATCTCGGGCGCGCCTGGATCAGGAAGTAAAGTCAGCTGGAGGAGAAAGTAGGTTTTTCTCAATGCCAAGGAACCTTGCCTTGATGTCTTGGCCCCACCCTGGTTGCCAAGGAGATAAGTCATCGGGAGCTGCCAAGACGTGTTCCAATGTTCATGTTCTACCGAGGTGTGCGTTCTCCGTTTTTAGCCGTTTAGCTAGCTGAGCGAAGATACACGGGAGGTGTCTTGTAGCCTAGCCTTCAGACGGCAGACTCTTATTTCCTGATTTTTGGACATCTCACCTCTGATTGGCTAACAGTAACGCGACTCTACCACTGACTCTGTTTGCTCTGCAACACTGATGTTTTATCTCCACAATAACACAAGCCTGGAGGAGCTGCCGTGCTGTGGAGTTGCTAATGCTAATGGTTAGCTTCTGCTAGTCAGGACATTCTCTGCTCTTTCCTCGACGCTAAACCAACAGCCAACCTCATTCTGAGTCAAGAGTGAATCCATGAACGTTAAGTGACGATATGGTGTACATCTGTCAGGACTTACAAATCCTAGAGTTCACCATCTATTTTCTATCAGAAGCTAAAGCAGGAGATAGGTGTAGGAGAAAAATAATGTTCAGCCTGCATGTTACACACAGAGTGATCGATTATGATCAGAAAAATCTTTAAATTGTTTTTTCTTCAGTGTTCCACACCTGTAAAATGTTTCACCACATTTTTTTATGTTTTTACTTTAATTTATCTGACAGGCCCTATAGTATCCTGCCATACTTTCCTCAGTGGCTGTGCACTGCAAGAAACGGATGATAAACAGAATATCATGGGATACTAATGAGGTTGTTCCTTGTTTAAAGTAATTAAACAAAGAGTCACAATAAAAACCTAGTTAACCTAGTTATCTCGATCAACTACTTGGTGAACTGACATAAAGGTAATTTGTTTCTTTGTTTTTCAGAATATCTGTCTCCATTTAAAAACTATCAAACTTCTTCCTGTGGACATATCGTAAATATTGAAAATCATGCATTAAGGTTATGTGAAATAGGAACATTTGTAAAAGTCTGTTTTTTATTTATATGATGAGAATTCTGCAAGAATCTAGAAAGTAAATGAAGGCAATTTAATTTATTCTAACTCATTATATAATAAAGACATGAGATCCTCCTTTGGTTGCATTTGTTCTGTTTATTTTGCAGTTTCAACAGAACCTGTTTAAAACAAAAAGCATGCAACTTCCATGTTGTTGTTTGGGTTTTTAGTTTTACAAAATAAACCTCCACCAATTTCCTTGAAATTGGGCACTTCCTGTACCATCTCGCTCATGTAGGACAAACACACACAAAGGTTGAACTGAAAACATCAATATGAGAATAGCTGCCATGTTGCTCATCAGAATGAATGAGAGAGGAAATATGAGAGGAACACAAAAAGAGGGGATGGAGATGTTGACTCAGACAGGATGCAACATTTTTCACCAGGTGGCTGTGGCTCCACACCAGGGACACACAAAACAAACATTCAGTCCAAAACCTAAAATCATGCCTGCATGCAAACATCAAACCTACCCTTGCAGCACCTAACGGAGACATATTGTTGGAGTAGTAGCAAACTGAGCTCTCACCTTAACCACTTTTAAGTCTCCTCATTGCGCTCAGCCTGGAAGGTGGAGGGCTTCTGCCACTTCTTGCTGTTTTTGCCCAAACTGACAGTTCTCTTCCATTTCTTCCACTTGTGTCAGCAACTTTCATCACCTAGCACAGAATAAAAGCCAGAAAGGAGGGAAACAAATCATTAAACACCTCTTCAAGTCAATCACATCTCTCTCAACCAGTACACATTACAACAAACACAATTAATTCATGAAACTTTCAGGTCAAAGAGATGGATGAACAAGGGAGGCACAGCTGTAACAAATCTATGCAACTCAAGTGGGTTAAAGCCAGGATATTGTATTCCATCCCAACTGCTGCACAAACGCTTCAAAGGAACGCCATAAGCAGAAGTCAATTACGATAAATATCAGGTAACATTTGGGTCATTTCTAACGTGCATACCTGTTGGCGTGTCGCTGTGCCCATTCTGTCTTACTTTTGTTTACATAAACTGTGTTGACATGCGCCGTTTGGGTAATTGTATCATGGTTGTAACTGCTCTGAAATAATTGACACGGTTTGTTTTGTGAGAGTGCGTGCAGGGGGTGTCTTACAATGCTCTGATGAAATTGCTAACAGCTGTGACAGCCACCATTGAACGCACAAATGCTCTTTTTCGCCATCTCATTTGTAGCGTACAGCTGCACTGATAAAGCATGAGGGTTAAGCAAATAATGCACAAAGGCCAGAAAACAATGCACCAGCCCCGTCCCTCCCCTATCACTCACACTCGCTCCAACTGCAACATTTCATAAGTGTGTGCCAGCTGCATGTGTGAAAAAATGACTGGCACTGCTTGTCCTCTTTATGGCTGGGAACAGAATAGACCCCCCCACTGCCCTCCCATTCAGTCCAATCTCTTTTCTTAATGATGAACCTCCTCAGTCATACTCTCTCCTCCCTCGTACCCTTCCAACCGCACCCCTCCAGTCTGGTGTCGACCCTCGAACAAGGCAGCAACAGTGCTCCTTTGTCTGCCCTCCTCCCCCCTATTGCCCCCCTCACCCTGCCCTGAGTGATGCTGGTTGGCGGGGACGGAGGCATGCCTCAACAGCAATGCCAGAGGAGTGGAAGGGAGGAGAAAAAATGTAGATGGAGGAATCTTTTTGATTTTTATGATTCTGTCTCAGATTTCTCTCATTTGTGTACTTTCAAGTCCATTCGGCCGTGTGTGACTGGGAGGTCTCAGAAGACATTTGAGATGGGGTGGGGGGTGGGGGGAGTGGGTTTCAAGTGACCACACCCTCAAGTGAACCCATCGACTCCGGCGTCGCAGAAAGTCACTCGCAGGAGACTCACAGCTGCTTTAGTCAGAGGAAGCTAATTTTAAAAAACCCAAAGTAAAGATGGAAAAGACAGAGAAAGCTTTCAGATTTTTATTACCACTCTTTGAAAAACAGTTCTACGTGCCGCCTTTCACGGGTAAAAAATAATGTGTGTGATATTCAAGCAAAAAATAGCCTTTAAGTATACAACGTATAATTTCCCATTTATGCAAAGAAAACAGTTGGTCTGCCCGCTGAGGTTAGTCAGGACATCCTTTTAGCCGATTCGTTCTGGTACGGCTGCAAACCCAGAGCCCCAATAGCATAAATACGGCTCCTGTAATGGTGTTTGGAGAATGTCTCATTTGCCAGTGAGAGACGGCGTGCTGGAGCGACACCTTTTAGCCAAAACACACAAACGCCGTGGCACCTCGAAGGCAACCGGTTCATTAACCCTAACTAATCTACAAACATTTTGTTTGCTTCAAAGCACATTTTCAGTTCAGGTTAATTCAAGCCACGTTAATTCCCTCTGAGCTTTAGAAAACAGGAAACACAGAGCGTCTGAGGGCTGCGACAACGAGGTGCAAGTCAAGGCTCCCAGTAGGCGCACTGGTTTGTCATGGCTGTCTGTGTTGCAGACGGAGACAACATGACAAAGACAGTGAAAGAGTGTGTGTGTGTGTGTGTGTGTGTGTGTGTGTGTGTGTGTGTGTGTGTGTGTGTGTGTGCGTGCGTGTGTGAATGGCATGACTATAGCAGTGATGCAGCTCCACCACCGTGATCCAGACTCCTGCCTCCATGCGATACCCGCTGCGCCAGCGTCATTAATCAATACAAGAGAAGAAGACAGACTCCCGCTGCGCTGTGACGGAGAACCCTAGCTTGTGTTCCAACTGTGGGTATGTGTTTGTGTGTACAGACTAGAGTGCCCTCGGGTAGAACGTGGCAGACATGATGCAAACCTTCAAGGCTTCCTGCCCACACTGATCATCTGCATTGTATTGGCTTTCTTGTACTTCTATAAAATATATCTGACTCCATTTGATGACTTGAACAGACTGATGCTTGTATTAAACTCCACTCTCCTACGGCTTCTAAAGTCTTAAACAGAAAGGTATTTGAGTGTTTCCGTTCAGCTAAATTCCACAATTATCTTACTTTTTGATGAGTCACCCAGGGTATCTAACTTTTGAAGTTTTACATTAGACAAAAATCTCACTGAATAAGAGGCTCTTTCTATGACACAGCTTTTGTCCTTTGAGATTTGAGTCTTTAGGAGTAATCTTTTAATTTAGTTTCACTTTCAAATGTTAAGTTCACACACAAATGCAAAGACTGATTCTCTAGCATGCACCCATTCAAAACTTGAGACACATTAACAAATGAGATTTATAAGTACTTAGTGGAAAAAGAGTCTTAAAAAGTTATTCCACCTTTTTATCATCATAGTTTGACTCCATTATAGATTTCTGACCATTATTCTAAATGCACAGAGTAGTAAAAGGTTTTTTATGTATTTTTTTTTTACGTTTAGCTCACAAAAAATCTACTTTTACTACTCTGTAAACATAAGAATCAGAAAAAAGTAATTAGAAAAACAACACAGAATGAACTTAATGAAGTTTGTTCTCAATATTTAGAAAATGTTCAACATTTGAAGTTTGATGTAAAACTTACTAAGTCTATTGCTTACTTTTGTTTATCCGATCGGCCCTAGTTTGCTGTCATACTTTCCTCAGTGGCTTTAAACTGCTATAAAACAAGAATGGAAAGTGTGATTCTAATGGGTTTTGTTCTTCGTATTTGACAACGCAGTCCGCAGTCCAAGGTAGAAGTCAGAAAATAAACAGTTACTATAAAACTTAGCTAGTTTCATCAACTAGTAAGTGAACTGACACAAATGTACTTATTCAAATAGTTTTTCAGAATGTTTCTCCATTTTAAACCATCAAGCTGCTTTTTGTGGTCACATTGATATCACACATGTAAATTGTGCATTTAGATTGTGTGAAATAAGAACATTTATAAATGTCTCCTTTTCACTTATCAGATGAATAACTGAATTGTGAGAAAAGTAAATCAAGGCCATATGACTTGTTTTATAGTAACAACATGAGATCCTGACAAGTGACTTTCTACTATGCACCCATTTAAAGCTGTGATGGCAAATCTACACAACAAGCTAGGTTTTGAACGCAAAAACGGTCATGAAACACTCATACCTCCCCTTGAGTATGTTCCCCGAGTCGCTGCTGACGGACCCAAAAACCTGCAAGGCTGGGACAAATGAGATAGAAAACTGTGACTGGTGTTCAGCGCTAAGTCCAAACATCGTTTGTTGTCCGTAACTTCAAATGGTGTTTTTCTTTTTGGGGCTCTGGTAGTTTGTCCTGAAGTGGAAGTGGTAGCAGCTGGCTGTTTCTCCTCTGATATCACTGAGAAGAGAACCTCTCACACCAGTGGTGGTCTGATGCTAAATACATGCGTGTGTAATGGGTGGAGGACCCAGGGAAGTGCGGAGGTTTGGCGAGACAAACTGCCGAATGGCCCAATGGTTGCTTTCAGTCCAAAACGTGTCATTCGCAGAAGTTTTTAGACAAATGTGAGAACCATTATTTTTTAACCTTTTACAATTTATTTATAGCTATATTGTTTTAGAATGTTGTTAAGAGGCATGAAAACAAAGGTTTTAAGATAATCGGTTTTCCAAATTTGCCATTGCAGCTTTAAAACCTGAGCTACATCAAACATAGATGTATATGTACTTAGTGGTATATAAATGAAGATGTAGTGAAAAAAATATATAAATTAACTTAAATTGAATTTTTATTTTGATTCAGCTGAGATAATTGTGCTTTTTGGGTGTTATCAGAAATCCCGGTATATACTTCTAGCTGTAAGTTGAACCTTTAAAAGCTTCACTTCAAAAGCAAAAAAGGAAGAAAAAATTGTCACTCACATACTCTCAAAGGTACTGTCTATTATTTCTGTAGCTCATGCATAATTAAGCACCGGCTAATTCTGGCTGAATTTCACAGCTGTGAAATTTCATCAGGTCTCATTGGGCTTTGTACTGCACACTTCCTGTACTTGTGCATGCAGTAAAGGTGTCCATTCTGTGATGGTTTGGGAACAATTCGCCAACCCTTTACAACCCTTATAAAAAGCAATATAAATTTTAACAAGGGCGTGTGATACATCAATGCCATGTCTCTTTGCGAGTCTGGACAAATGACCGGTTTCACAGACATGGAAAATGTTTTTCCTGGTCCATTATTATCAAAAGGGGAGGTTTTTCTGATGGTCCGTGACAGAAAAAGAGCAATGGGATGTAGTGGGCAGTACGCTGCTGTTAGCAGGAGAAAGAGTGAGTTTGATCTTTTGCACGTTTTAAACTCTGACTGTATGTGAACAGATATTCTTAAATTAGATTTGGCGCATGACTAAGTGTACTCCTAATTCCTTATTAATGAATGAAGTTTGAACTGGCAAAGGTTTATATCTCTAGTCATAAAATGTGATTGGTTGTTCTTTATCAATTAATTAATTCCTAAGTTAAACTGGACTAAAAAGACAGGAGCACTGCAGCAGTCATTTAACCCTCTCAGGCTCAAAATAAGTTTTGATAAAAGGACAAACGAAAAGACAAACAACTAAGTCCTTCAGGGGAACTTCTGAGTTAAAAAATGCTCATGAAATACGTATGTGGAGTAACCAGGTAGGTACGTTTTAACTTTGCAAATCTGCAACGCCTGCCTCCAGAGGGTTAAGCAGCCTTCTGATGAATAGTCTTTACATCCATGTAGTGACATTTAGGTTTATTTTCTTTAC